GTGTGTGTGTGTGTGTGTGTGTGTGTGTGTGTGTGTGTGTGTGTGTGTGTGTGTGTGTGTGTGTGTGTGTGTGTGTGTGTGTGTGTGTGTGTGTGCGTCCAGGGTCCAGTGACATGCATACAGAGGATTTGACGATGAGAAAAGTGGCGAAACATTGAGTCTGCCTGCTCGGTTTGGATCATGGGTCTATGGGTCTATGGATGAGGAAGGAGGGAAGGCGGGGTGACGAGAATAGAATAGGTATGACGTACGACGTGACAGATTGAAGGGTGGATGAATGTCACGGGTGTCTAGGTATGTAGGTACTAGGTGGGTAGGTACTAGGTAGGTACACTGATACATACAGACAGGTACACACATCAACACAGCAACGTAGCATGCTTCCAAACAAAAAGTACCTACCTAAACACCTCTCTCAGCACACACACACACACACAAGAATCCTTCCCCTCCTTCACTCACTCCATCATCCATCACCCATCCATCCATCCATCCCTACCCAGCCCGGCTCCGGCCGATCACGGTATGTGATAAGATAAGCTCACAAACCCACCGCTCCCCGCACACACGCACACACACACAAACACACAGACACATGCACACATGCACGCTGACGCTTGACCATGAGCCATATTCATGCCGTCACAGCCAGCGTCAGACAAACGACCAGTTCCCAGACCAGACCAGACTACACCAGAACCCATGACGAACGGACGAACGAACGACCGACCGACCGAACCAACCCCGCTTGAACGATGTCATCGCGGCCGTGCTATGGGATAGGACTTAGGTGAAGGTGAGGAGGGGATGAGGAGAGGAGGGGGGAAGGGAAGAGTGCACAGATCTATGTTCTTTCTAGAGAGAGAGGGGGAGAGTAGGGTGATGACGACGACGACGACGAAACAACATCTCCTTCCCCCCCCGCTCATCTACGGAATGGATGTGTGTATATGGTGTTCGCGGCGATCGTTGCATGGTACATAGATGAGCGCATGAGCGGTGCCCGAGTACTATTATTATTAGCATAATAAGCGTGAGAACGTAGAAGTGGCAAATGCAAAGGAACGAATGCTGCGTCAGCCAGTATCATGGAGTATACAGATTCACGTTGCGCGATGTATCATTCTAGCAGGATGACGGACACTATAACAAGCGCGCCGGCGCCCGGGGCGGGGCGGGTGTGGGTACAGCTCGTGCCTTGATGCCTTAAGAGTGAGAGGTGAGGATATTTACGTCCGTAAGGCGACCGTGGCCTAGATGCCAGTACAGATGCCCAGACGCTAAGGAAGACCGAGTGAGGGAGCGACAGCCGTAGGTGGTTCTGGCGTAGTTTCGGTCGGTCTGTCGGTTCTTCTGGCGGCCGCCACAAGCGCTAGTTTTGCTCATCCCCCCTTGTCAACATTTATTGATTTGCCCGTTATGGATAAGCGTGGACGGGGTTAGAGCGGCACTCCTAAATCCCGGCTGCTTTGACTGCAAATCGGTCGTGACAGCATGGACCTGTAGATCTTCAAAGGAACGCGGTTCAAATGCAGGTGGTAAAATGGCACGCTATGAGATGTCCTTTGCATCACACAATAACGTATATTATAGACTAGTGAATTCTGTCCTCGAGACAAGTAAACCACTAGATGAACCCCTCACCCACTGCTCCTCAGAACAGTTCAACACAGTTATGTGCTTGCCTCCCTAGATGCCCTACGAAGGCGTGGTATCATAGAAATCCCATGAAATTAGGTAGTACGCCGTTGCAAAATGCTCAATGCCAAGTCCCGCCGAAATGCTACCGATGATGTGACGCCAAATTCGCTCATGCATATGGTTGTTGTAGATTGCTGATGTGGTCAGACTGTAAATAAGATCGACTCGTGTCGGAAATGTGACGTCCAGGGTAGCCTAGCCACTATCGCTATCGCTGGGGCTTGTTTCAGCTGAAGTTGAGGACGAAGTGGAGTATGACGATTCCGATTCAGATTCAGACTTAGTGTGTGGTGCCAGGGTCCACCTCCATAGCCGATTGCGTTTACGACGGCCAGCGATCGGAGTCTCGGGACAGGAGTCTTCGCTCTCTGAATCCGAAGAATCGCGTTTTGAGGGTATCATGGGCGAGGACTGCGTGGAGTCATTGCTACGGACTGAAAGAGTCGGTGAAGGTGATCTGGCTGGTGGTTCAGAAGAGGTATCGGTGATATTGCTGGAGGTGTGAATCTCGAGTTCGCAGTTCGTGTTCACCTTAGGCGTCTTGGGCGGCTCTGGGATGATAGACGCAATAGACGTGTCGAGGTCTGAATGCTTTGCCGTGTAGAGTGTGTTTGTGATCTCTTCTACAAGAGGCTCTTTGAACGATACCCTTTTGATAGGGGGGAAGAAAGGCCGAGTCGTCATTTTCCTAGGTCGAATCTGTGGATATGGGCTGTTGCTAAGAATAGATGTGATGTGGTGTGAGAGTTTGTACGGTGGAGGTGTGGTGAGAGACTCTGTCGAAGATGCAGATGAGGCTGTCGCGGAATCGTATCGTGGAGTGGATTTATTAAAGGAATCCTGGGCGACTTCTGAGTTGTCATTGGACGTGTTCAGCTTCAGTGAAGGACGTCCTTGTGTCTGGGTGGGTGCGTCGTAGGCGTTTGAGAAGGTATTACGGGCCGTTGGCGATACTGCCGAGAGAGTTTCCAGGCGTAGACTTGCACCCTTTCCAAACGATCTGGTCTGTGATGCTGATGCGGTGTTGAGCGAAAGCTTTGGTCTTCTCGCAGTGGTTGGAGAGTGTTGATGAAGAGAAAGAGAAGATGGAACTGGAGCGGAAGGTAATATGGCCAGAGAGGAAGACATGGTGGAGGAGGGAAGTCGTGAATCACGAGACGAAGTAGTGTCTGATGGCTTCGCCATGTGAGGAGGAAGCGAGGTAGATATGGCCAGCATGATGTTGATTTGTCTGGCACAGGTAACAAGATGTCTTTGACTGAGCAGCGTGGCTAGTCGCAGATGTCTCAGAGATGACACGCAGCTGTGAGGCTTGGGGAGGTATTGGCAAAGCGGAGGTGCTATTATTAAAGCATGAGAGCAGCGAAGTGACGGAGGCTGTAGGCAGAACAGACGACTATTATAAAGAAGGGTGGGAAGGGAAAGGGAAGGCTATGATATCGACAAGAGGATAGACATTAATAGCGGGCGGGAAGGTTTACTTTTAACCTGGAACATGCATGAATAATGAGGAGCGAGCGCGCCTTCCATGGTAGGTAGGCGGGAGAAGAGAGCGAAAAAGCGCCTATTAGATTTCATTGGGAGGAAGGGACGTGCGCAACCACTGGCCCTGGAGTGACCTTCCACCCAGTGCCCACTCCGCACACACCTCTCTCTACCTATTCACTATTTATTACACACTAATTAACACACGACACTGTCTACACTGCTACTACTGCCTAGATAATTACCATGTATACGTACACACGAACAAAACACGCACGGGACGCTGGAGATGACTCGGTAATTGAGTGGCCATTCGCATCTGTATCTGTGGCAAGGTCGAGCGTCACCCTCGAGATGTGCAGGCGGCGTGTGCATCGCAGGTTTTGAGGGGTTTGGGGGGGGGGAGGGTGTGGAGCAGCAAAACAAGAGGCAAATAGGGCGCTGGATACAGTACGCGTCGCAAGCGCTTTTTTGTTGCGGCTTTTGGGGGGGGAGAGGCGGCCGGGTGGGCTGTAGACTGGCGGTAGACTGGCTGCTCAGGCCCCCGATGATGGTGCAAGTTGGCTCTATAGGTAGCTGGAGTGGCAGCCAGACCAGCCAGACCAGCCAGCCACCTCCATCCACTCCCAACTCCTACTCCTACCCTACCCCCTCCCCCCCCCCTCTCCGAAACAAAAATCCTCCTCTATAGAGCCTATGGAGCCTATGGAGCCCCCCGTTTCACCGCTGCCACAAACCTCTTTTCTATTTTCATTGTTCTATTTTTATTTTTGCCATAGCCAAGACCACTTCCTCTCCACTCCTCGCCCATTCTCCTTGACTCCCACTGTTCCCTGAAGCGCCTGTCCTCGATCTTTGACGGCGATACCAACGGCACCACAACCATCAAAACCGTCATGACGAGCGAACTTCAAACACTCAACGTCGCCTTCCATCGTGGTGATCTTCTTTACTCAGCCGTCACCCGTCTGAGCATCTTACTGTACTCTACAACCGGCCAATCGGCCCCCATTCATCAAACCCCGTGCTAGTCAGCCTGACCCTGGGTCCTCCAGGATACGATTACGAGCTTTCAGGGATTCTTGCCTCGATACATGTTTGATAGCAGAAATCAAAAGAACTCTTAGGACTCCAGCCGTCTCTGCTCCACATACGCAACACGCCTTCCAACACTCCCCAAGCCGAGCCTGGTAACGCGCAGCATGCACACATGGAAGTCCCTTTGGCAAGGCTACCAACTCGTCCATACGATTCGTCCGTCATCCTCCACTTTGTATGTCTGTCATGTCCGCTCTGCTCTGATTCGTGCCTTGCTGCCCCCAAAAGCCTTTTGGCCTCTCTCTGCATATTTGGCTCCTTTGGGATTTCATCGGGTGACTTCCTGCTAACCATCGTATCTGCACCATAGGATTATGTATGTTGGCTCCCATGCCCAAATCCTGCCTCTAGATTCAATCTGACTTTATCGTCCTTCAGGATTGCTTCTACGCTTCCGTCTTCGAGGCCGAAAATCCTGCTCTCAGATCACTACCACTTGCCGTGCAACAGAAACAAATCATAGTCACGTGTAACTATGAAGCAAGACGCAGGGTACCTCCACCTCCACTTCTAATTACTGTCCGACACAACAAACACACAGTGCTTTTGCTGATCTATCTACTACTCAGGGCCTACACAAGCTTCAACTCGTCACTGATGCTAAAAGGACCTGTCCTGATGTTATCATTGTGCTAGGAGAAGACCTGACCCGCTTCCGCAATGCGTCTAAAACTCTGTACAACTTCCTCCGGTCCTTTTCGTGGAATGGCAAAGTGGAGAGGCTGGGCTTCGACGAGGTATGTCGTTTTGATAGCGCGGCTGCTGCTGCCTCCACACATTCGTGACACCGTCCATGTTATGGACGGGTGATTACATGCCATTTACAATTTCCGCTGCAAGCTCGGACTGACTGAGCAACTTCAGGTGTTTCTGGACGTCACAGACTTGATACGTTTCAATGTCGATCTCCTAAATTCGCAGCATCTACAAAACTCTTTCTTCTGCCTTGATAGGTCGGACCCCACTGCGGGATTCAACTTTGATGCAACCAGTGTCACGGGACACACGCATGGGATTGAAAGCCGGGGGATCTCATCACCCAATCCAAATCACTACTCAAATCCAGACGAGGCTCTCCGGTTGCGGCTTGTGCTGGGGTCTCACTTGGCGCAATTCCTACGTCTACAACTGGAAGAGAGGCACAATTACACCTCTACGGTAGGGATATCCACGTCCAAGCTTCTCGCCAAGCTAGTAGGAAATCTGCACAAACCAAAAAGTCAGACTACTCTCATCCCTCCATACACTTCGGAAGGTAACGACGAAAATTCGGTCACTTCCTTCATCGATGGCCATGAGGTCGGCAAAATACCAGGAATCGGTTTCAAACTGGCCCAGAAATTACGACATCTCGTTCTTGGAAGGCCTGCTGATCTCAACAATGGGCTTGTCTACGGAGATACAAAAGCACACGTATCCGTAAAGGATGTGCGGACTTACCCAAACATGTGTCCTGAACTTCTGGAGAACCTTCTCAGCGGTCCTGGTGCTCCCAAGGGCATTGGTATCAAGGTTTGGAACCTCGTCAACGGCATCGATGAGTCTGACATCAGTCAAGCAAGGGACGTTCCACGGCAGATCTCATTAGAGGATAGTTACCTCCGCCTAGACACATACTCACAGGTTTTGGAAGAGCTGAGAATGCTCTCAGTAAGTCTATTAGATAGGATGCATATCGATCTCATGGAAGATGAGACTGGCATTTATCCGGAAAGCGAGTTAATGGAGATACCCGCGCCGAAAAGGTGGATAGCTTTCCCCAAAAGCCTCCGCCTTACCACGCGACCGAGACCACCACAAAATCCAGATGGTTCTCGCAATCGTAGCTTCGCACGTATCTCACGTTCGCAGCCTCTTCCAAATTTCGTCTTCAATAACAACGAAAGGAGTGACGTGACTGCTGAGCGACTGGTTGCAGAGGCTTTGATACCACTGTTTCGAAGACTTCATCCAGAGAAAAGTGGGTGGAATTTGAGTCTCATCAATATAGCAGTCACTGATATTGTTGAAGCCGCTGGAAACACTAAAGACGCTGCTGGAAGAGATATCTCCAAGATGTTCAAGCAACAAGATACAGTTCTCCGCCAGTGGAGACTCAAAGACACAGATGGGCCGGGAGACAATAGGGATTCGCCACAACCATCACCAGGCAATTACAGCATGCGACACCCTACCGAAGTTGGAGCTTCTCCTGGTAGTCATGGTTCGTTGACTATTAATGTGACTTCGCCACAGCGAAAAATGTCGACTGCAACTACTGATCAGCAATCTGGCCTACGCGGCTCCGAAGACTGCATTCTCCTGTCCTCTCAAAGCACCATACATGATAGTAATACTGACATGCGTAAAAGCATTGAAGACACAGGATGGGTATCAGACGAAGACACGATATCTAGTCTTGCATGTCCTATCTGCGGAGCGATGATGCCGGCCTTTGCAATGCAAGCGCACGAACGATATCACGACATGGGCGATTGATATCGGCGCGGCGCAGCTGTGCGCGACAGCCATGCATACACGCAAGTCATCACACTAAGACATGTGACAGGAAGCAGCTTGAACAGAGCTGTGCGCTCTCCTATATCGTTTCAATCAATGTCCAGGAAATCGTAACGACTGTTCAAAGAGATACACGTGAGCATTGTACAGTACTTGTCCATCAGTTCCCGCGTCTATGCCTTTTTACACCAAAAATGACCTTACTTATATTATAAGCCCTGCATTTAAAAACAGCGGCTAAAACTTACTCTAAAAATTATAAAAATTATAATTTATAACTAAGGTGATACTTCTACTTAGAATTCTAAAATAGAGTTTTGAGTGGGTATAGAAGTATTTTAAAATCGGATAAGATTAAAATAGTCGATTTTTTCCATATAAAATGCGAGAAAATAGTAAGTTTTCACTATCTCGAGTTTATTACTATCTATAGAGAGCTCTAAGTTTTTTTTAAAACATCTATCTATTTAGAAAAGGTAGTTCTAGTTATTATTTATAATCCTAAGAACTTTTAGAGTAAGTTTTAGCCGCTGTTTTTAAACGTAGGGTTTATAAATAAGGTCATATTTGGTCATTTTGGGTGTAAAACCTCATGACCTCGGGAACTTATGAACGGGTACTGTAGATCAAGGTCAGGAATCAGGAACGTGAGGCTACTATTGCATGACAGCACAGGCAATACTGTATGAATCGCCAAGCAATCAGGATCAAACAAGACCTGTCCTAGTATCCCATCGTAGATCGCACTCAGGACGCTATGGCAAACTCGCACGGCACAGCCTTGCATATTGCGCAAACGTTTGCACCGGATTGCTTGTCAATTTTGCTTGAGCACCGCATACCCTTCATCAACACCCTGTCTCGCGTGATTAGCACATTGGTGGCCTTTTCTGACCAAATATTGCTTCTACGCCCGCAAAATACCTCGAACACAACAAGCATCCTCGAGTACCGACCAGAACACCTACCTCTCAGCAAAGCAAATATACACGAAACAGCTCGATCTCATCCCTCCTCGTACGTGACAATCGTTTGTGGAGTCTTGAACTACAGTACCCAGTGCAAATTCAGTCTGGCCCGTGCTTGTCCGCCACGCCCGGTCGCAGTGACAGACTATCGAGCACCCTCGTTTTGTGTAATATCAAGCACCCCCACCTCTAACCTCTTTAATAATAGATAGCCCGGCCCGGGTAGTCCCGACTCCCGGGGGGGTCGAAATTCCTATCCGCTAATTCTGATTTCCAGTCACATATCTACGCATATACTCTTGAGATACCTTGATTAGGAGGGTTCGGGTTAGGAGGGTTCGGGTTCGGGTCAGAACAGGAGGATTAGTAGGGTTAGGATATGGAAGAGCGAAGGGTGCTTACGCCCGGTCATTCGTAATAACTACATCACCTCCGGAGTCGTATGAAAAACTTATATAGGTAGCTTATATAGGTAACTTGTATAGGTGGCTTATATAGATAACTTGTATAGGTGGCTTATATAGCTATGTATCCTAAGTACCGCACTATATTCACTTCCGAGGCTATTAATTAATGGGTCAGATTGGGGTGCTTGAAATTGAGGGTGCTCGATAGTCTGTCACCGGTCGCGCGCCCTTGCTATTTCCGCGGTAGCTATATTTAGTATGCGGGCAACAATAACAAATAGGGGTGATCTGCATAGGAAGGTGCCCTAGGTACTCTACACAACTCTGAAATACTTATATGGTTGGAAATAGACTACAACCATATCAAAGCTTTAGCTTCTTGTAACGCTTCCAAGCAACGGTACAAAGCTTAGCAGAGGCAGGTAGGTCATTGATGGTACTTATGGCACACGCACGCATGAGCTTTTCTATGATTAGCTCACGTCGCAGATCGTGGAACGGCTTAGCGCTAAACACGCGTTTCTGGCGGCCCTTGCGGCGTTGTTTTTACAGTCGAAAGCGGGACGATCGGCCATGATTTATCACAAAATAGGCGGACAACACACGTTTCTTAGAGGTCTCTCTCTCCCTAACAGGCAATTATGCAAATTGGAGGTCCGAGCTCGTCTCAAGAAAAATTTTTCTTCGTGCTGCATGCAGCACATGTTTCAGTTAGGCGTCTTTGTGTTGTTGAGGTTGTGTGTGTGTGAAGTATCATGTCATCGGATAGCTTTTCTTACTGCGTTGGAGGTTGGTCATACCGTCAATGGGTATAGACTTTTTGGGGCCTAAAGGAAATCTATGATTTTATTAATGTTAATAGCCCTTTCAATCACTTGCTTCTTATTAGATCTTCCATTAAGCTATTCATACATCCGTCCTTCTCACTAAAAAACCTAACGAGCTAGGTACCTACCTACTCGTGCACGCATCTTCTTTGCCCCTGTCGTCCTATCTTAAGGTTGTTCTGCTTTCATAGTTGTGTCTAAAGTACATAGGAGTATTAAAGGTAGATATAACAGTTAATTAGATGGGGACTACCTTCCTCTTCCTCTTATTATAGACTAAATTTAATAGTTTAGGGCTTAAAAGGATAGAGGATGTATGGCCTTATTACTCTCTGTTAAGCCAACATAAATATATTAATATATACACCCTTATATAGAGGTAGAGAGGTAGAAGGACAATCTAAGATGGGGGTAAGGTGAAACGAAAAATGCCAAGCTGGTCAGTCAGGTTCGACGAATGTTCTTAATGGTAAGCCGGTGGGCCTTGCGCGATTTCCAAACTTCCAAAGCTGATTAGCCTTATGACGAGTTCAACCAAATCTAAAATAGCAGTCTTCAGGTTTCAGGTTATCTGGTTCTGCATCCTATAAGTCACATACATACCTTTTGTCTTTCTACTGTCTAGCAACCGCATTTTTTCTTATGTACTTTACAGATATTCAAGATGTTTTTGTCCTCTGGTATAGTGCTCTTTCTCGCTCTCCTCGGCACTTTTATCATTCCCTCCCTAGCAGTAGATGAAGATGAAGATGGAAGTTATGCCCTCCATCATTCATGCGACCAAGACTATCCAAGGGCGAGGTATGCTCTCAATGAGGCCATACGTATGGCTCGCATAGCTGCGACTGAAATGGGGCGCGGGCTTTCGCCGCCCCTTCTTAATACCTATAAGCTTATCTTCGAACAATCCAACGTAGAATCTGGACCATCTGAAAGGTTCCTGTTTGACAAGGTTCGTAAGACCTTCAAGGAGGTCAGTCGGCTATACCAAGACGACTGGGCCCACGCAGAGATCAAGATTTACTGCGACGATAGGCGCTGGTCACCGGAGGTCGGCCAGGTGCTCGACCCGAGAGACTTTCCTAATAACGTTATTCCGGATGATTTACTCAATCCACGCCGTGATCCCGACTTGCAAAGATGGGTTGATCTCCAGACTGGAGAACACAGAGTGGGTGTACTGCCCTGCAAATCCGGCCTCCCTGATTTTCACGACTGGCGCAGTACATGGCAGTTCGACAATCCCGACGCGGTCACATTCACATGGTGCGGTCCGAATTGGCATGATATACGCCATAGAACGATCGAGCTGGACCTGATGTTTGCGAACCTCTCAGACGTCGATATGGATCATATCACTATATATTACCTCTCTCACGCGTTCCTTATTATGATTTTGCTTGCACCGCGTTTTCACCGTACGTTCCCCCTCATTCTCTTTTTGCTCTCACTGTTTTTGTTGTGCTGCTGTGGTACGAAACGGTTGCTGAATGGAGAGATTTTGTAGTTCGAGGCAGAGAGCATGGCTGGTTCAGAAATATAGGACTTGTCGTCGAAGAGGCGGTCGAAACCGCGCCTCCTCATGGTAGGTTCTCCCGGGTTCTCGCACGCGGCCACCTGACACAGTTCTTGACCACTGATACCCTTGTAGCTCTTTTTGCTGCCCTATGTCTTCTGGACAGGATGGACATTGGGCTTCATAGCAACGCCGTGCTTCGAGTAGCAGGGAAGCTCGAAAGGAGGAACCCAATTCAATTTACACACCCGTTTCCACCTCCACTTGCACAGCCACTCCCACCGAACCTTCCTCAAGTCTAGACTACATGCGGGGAGGCAGAAATGGGCCCTCCATCATAGACCCAGATGGTCCAACCCGTTGTCCGTCCTGGCCGTCGATCCGAGGTTGGGGGCCGGGCAAGGTTTCTATTTTCCAAAGTAAAAAGGGAGGTTTTCAGCGCTCTGTACATATCCGCTAACCTGCTATTTTTGTATATCTATCTACATGCGAGAATCTATGGCATACATGCTCGCCGAATAATACATATGTACCTTACCCCCGCCTTCTTCCGAATACAACGCATCCCATAAGTCTATCCTCAGACGCCCCCCGGCTCATGTTGTTCTCATGTCCGAGTATCTCCTTCTTCGTCCCTCCATCCGGAATTGGATGTTTCCATTCTAGCATTATATCTCTTTCTTCACACCCCAACCCACAAGAAAGCAAGTAAAAGGGGCAAAGACTTCACAGACCGCACACTGGCGTGTCCCCAGCTTATCCCACATGCTAATCTCCCCGTATTGCGCAGGAGAATTGGTGAGTAAATTACATCGCGATCCGACGAACGAGGGCATACGTTGCACTTTCTCGCAGGCGTGTATGTTCGGGCGAGGAAGGGGAGTAATCTGGTATGTTTGTTTTTTGTACGGAGGAGGTGCGTGACTCAAGTTTCCATCGGAAGGGAAATACTTGTGGTGGTATGGACTGAGGGGAAGGGGTTGAGTGTATTATGGCATAAGTGTGGTCTGAGTGCTGCTAAGAGTGAGATGCGAGACCGTTACGTCGAAAAGAGAAGGAACGTGACGAGACCAGACATACCACAATCCGCGGATATCTACATGCTCAAGAAGATGCTTCAGTTCGATTTGGTCGTCAATGCTTACTATAGTAACAGCGGAAAGTGTTATTTCATTTCAACAATAAGGCCACTCATCCAGATACTCATCCGTATTAGTTCCTCCTTGTATCTCTCCGACTGCAAACCTTAAAGATGCCCTGCTTTATCATTCTTATAATAGTGTCCTACAATGTATGTAACTGTAAGTAGCGGTGCCTCATTCAGCTCCTCTAGATTTGCTCTCGTTGTGCGGCTCTAAGTTGGAGTGCTAATCTGACAAGGATGTTCCATGTGAGGGACTGGCAGTTAGACTAGCAATGGGAATATGGCTGCTAACATCAGAGTGGGAGGCGAGCTTGATGGAAACGAATTCCAGTGATAGAGCGGGCCCAGCATCAACACGTTTGGTGACACAAGAACCAACAGCTTCTTAATATTTCGTGACTTGTGTGCGATGTACGGTTCACACACGATCAATCCTTGTTACTACTGTGCAGTAATTATAGGGACCGAATTTGATAGGCATCGAAATATGCGCAAAAGATTCTGCCAACACAAGATCTACGTCTCTCCTTCCTTGTACCTCTCTATTGATCTATAATAGTATACGACCGGGCCGTACGTGACCATGACACGTCTTCCTGATACACATCGACCTGCTCCGATGACGACTTGGCCGACCGTTTGTTATGCGCGGCCTGAACTTGAGATAAATTCCGAGATCACTGAAAGGCTCAGCTGGTGAAAGGTACTTCTGCATGGATATGCACAGTATGCGACTTATACATAAGGCCGTGCGGAAGTCAGACACGAATATCAGTCAAACGGAACCTCTTGTTGCGTCGGTCTATATGTTACCAATTTACAAAGCTCGTAGTATCATAAAACAGGAGGACGGCCACCAGTCCACCTCTGTTTAGACTTGTCTAATCTACAACTCGTAGTTAAAATTGACAAGCTTAATTTCCAGTCTTGCCCGTGTGAGTCTGTAGTATTGATGAACACACCAGATTCTGTTAGTTTACACAGCGCCGAGCGTCGACGCCAGAGTCTCCCTTCGAACAGCTCCGAGCGCCAGCCATATGAATACACAAACCACTCTCTCATATAGAGACGAAGAAGCTCTTCTCGCCCTCCTGTGGATTAACTCTGCTCCGCTCGATGATCGGATCCGCACAGCTAACACGAATCCTTTCCACGGTTGCCGGACTGTGCAAGTTAAGCACGTCCTCAACGCCAAACTGCTTACGTGCTGCTTTGAGTGCTTCTCGGATTGCGAAGAAGACTACTGATCCCATAAACAAAGGAGGCTCCCCTGAAACACATAGTCAGCACATCATAATCTTTCACCACGGCAAGCAAGGAAGAGGTAAACTCACCAACACCACGACTCCGCTGAATCGTTCTGAGATTCTCCCACTGCACGTCCTTCAACAAGCTCACATTGAATACCTGCGGGATGTCTCTAAAGCCTGGGATTTTATAGTTCCCAGGGCCACGCGTCGCAATCTGGCCTGTCGCTCGCATCCACAGGCTCTCTTCGGTCGTGAACAGGCCCTGGCCCTGCACGAACGCGCCTTCAATCTGTCCGTAGTCAATGGCCGGATTGATGCTGCGGCCAACATCCATCTTAATGTCGGCGCGCCGGCACGTCCAATCACCCGTGAGCGTGTCGATCTCAACTTCGGCGGCGGAGACACCCTGTGTGAAGTAGTAGAACATCATGCCCTTGTTTGCGCCCCATACATATCCAATCTCGGGTGTCTTATAGAAGCCCTGGGCGGACAAGTTGACGCGATCAAAGTATGCTGCGTGGGCAAGTTTACTCATTGGTGTGTCCCTACCTAGTTTCTCTCGATACGGCTCGAGACGCTTGTTGAGTTCTGAACAGGCATTCCAAATAGCATAACCATTAAGGTCGCTGGACGCAGAAGCAGCAGTTGATGAAGTGTTCGCGACTGTGTTCGTTGCGGTCTCGGAAATGAAGACATTATCCTGCGGGACGCCGAGGGCTTCAGCTGCTATCATGATCATTTTAGTATGCAGGCCTTGGCCCATCTCGGTGCCGCCGTGAGCGAGCAGGACGGAGCCATCATGATAGATATGGACGAGAGCACCGGCTTGGTTCAGGAAAAGCGCAGTGAAGGAGATACCAAACTTTGTTGGGATGAGAGCAAGGCCGCGCTTGTTCCATTTGTGCGTCTCATTGAATTTCTCGACTTCACGTTCACGACGCTCGTAATCAGATTCTTGCTTGACTTGATCCCACATTAGGGGTACAAACCAGTCCTTGAGTTCCTGGTTGAAGTGAGTCTTATCACCGGACTTGTACATGTTGAGTTCGCGTAGCTTGTTGACAGGAATCTTCATGTGATCCGCGACTTCTACCATCATTGACTCACATATGAAGATTCCTTGTGGGCCACCGAAACCTCTGAAGGCTGTGTTGGAGACGGTATTGGTCTTTGCGACACGTCCGCGAACCCACATATTCGGAAACTTGTATACACCATCTGAGTGAGATAGAGCTCGCTCGACTACGGCACCACTGAGATCCTGACTCCAGCCGCCGTTGTTGATAATATCGCAGTCCATGGCTTGGATCCTTCCGTCCTTGTTAACAGCAACCTTCCACCGTCCCAGGAAAGGATGCCGCTGCCCGGAGGTCATGATATCTTGGTCTCTGTTGAGCATACATCGCACTGGACGACGCGTCTTGTTCGCAGCTGTAGCGCATATACCAGCGAGCTGGACGGATCTTGTCTCTTTACCGCCGAAACCTCCACCCATACGCTTGACACGCGTTACGACTCTATTGGCCTGCACTCCACAGAGCTTCGCAACATATGCTTGCGTCTCTGCTGGATTCTGGGTGCTACTGAAAACTTCCAGCTCACCGTCCTCAGGCTTTGGTACCACGCAGCAGGCTTGCGTTTCAAGATAGAAGTGTTCTTGACCACCCATACGCGCGATTCCAGTAAACACGTGGTCAGCTTCCGCGAAAGCCTTTTCTGTGTCGCCTGTCTTAATCTCCTTGAAATGGTCGAAGTAGCTTTCCTTCTCGATCGCCTCCTCGATTGAGAATATAGCAGGTAGCTCCTCGTACTCGATCTTGACAACGCGGGCTGCTGCTTCGGCATGTTTCGCAGTATCTGCAAGGATCATACCAATCGGCTGACCGGCAGTAAACACTTCATCGACCGCAAAGAAGACCTCATCGCAGACTGGCGCACCCCACCGATTTGATTCTGGTGTTGCGCAATCTCGGTGGTCAACCCACTCTACTACACCAGGTAAATCAAGTGCAGGTGAAGGATCAACATCCAGAAGCCTGGCGTGTGCTTTGGTTGAGAGCACCATGACTCCATAAAGCTCATTCTTTTGCACAGGAATGTCGTCCGTGTATTGGGCTTCGCCAGTGCACTGCTTCATCGCTGCCACATGTGGTCTTTCCGTCCCCAGAATCTTCTGCTCGTAAGCTTTACCGGCGCTGTGGTCCTTCTCCCCCCTGGAAATATCTCGTTCGATCTCTCCAACCGCTTGTGTGTCGACTTCGCCCTCCGCAGCGCCGAGCTTCGAGAGTACTTCATGATAGAACTTGTAGAAAAAGCTTAGCGCTAAAGACTTGCGGTAGGTTGCCATGCCGCCTGGGACGCCAAACCGAAGGTCAAAGTCTTTTTCGAGCGCGTTCATAGCACCTTCAAGAGTAGCCAATTCTGTCCATTTCTTGTCGTGTAGGTACTCCATAGTCTTACGAGCGGGGACTGTTGTTGGCGCCATACCTCCATAGATAAGACTGGTGCCCTCGACGGTGTGGGACTTGTCAAGCGACACACGTAGTGCACCATTCACGATCGCAATGTCATCATCTTTCCTCTTGGCTTGCTTGTAGGCTTGGATATACTCGCCTTCACTACGGGCCGTAGGAATTCGTATACTTGCGATAATGGCGTCTGGAGGGAGTGCTGTTGTTCGATAGCCTTTGAAGAACTGCGTCATTGGTATCTCAGTCGTCTTATCCAAAGATTTAGCGATGAGTACAGCATTCGTAGCAACAAACACCGGGTTGAGATCAGAGATTGGCGATGCTGTAGCTAGATTGCCTGCTGGCGTACCGACATTTCGGATTTGACGTCCTGCAAAATATCGCAGCTGCTTGAGCATTGCCGCGAACGGCTGTCCTTGAACCTCACCGTAGTGCTTGATCGCTTCTCTGCAGATATTCTCCAGATCCGTTAGCGCAACGTTTCCGCCTATCTTGAGATGATCCTCCTCAAAGTGGTATTGCCTTAATTCTGGGATGTCTCCGACATAAACCGATACGGAATACTGCATGGCCTTGAACTTTACCTCGATCTGAGTCTCAGTGCTACCTCCTATAAGTTTGGCAGATGGATATACGCTTTTAATTTCTAGTAGTTGTTGCAATGTGACTGGTCTGTACCACTTCTTGCGCTTGTTCCCGAAAGCTAGAGGCTTGAATTCGTGTTTCCGTAACCTTACTGGAAAGATGAGCTCTGTCTCTGGCTTGTATTGGATGAAATCTGGCGGTGTAAACTTCTTGACTGACTTCATGTCTCCATTAATGCCGTCGGCGCCGTCTTTGCAACAACCGCCTCCACTCCCCTTGTTCATGCAACATCCGGTACCTTCATTTCTAGAAGCTTTCCCGCACATTGTTTTCACGCTGAAACTCTGTGCCGCATCCAATATCGGCCTGTATCCTGTACATCTACAAAGATTCCCATCGAACGCTTCTTCGACATCGTGTTCGTTGGGATTAGGATGGTTACGTAGAAGAGCGTATAGACTCTGGGCGCTTGTCAGACCCTATCGTCAATTGTTGTTTACGGATACCCTACCATGACTATTCCTGGTGTGCAAAACCCGCACTGACTGCCATTACTCTTTGCTATTCTTTCCTGGGCCGGATGAGGCTTCTTCACGCTTCCTATTCCTTCTACGGTTATAACATGTTTGCCGTCGACACTGACGAGGGGTGCAAGACACGCATTCACGGACGCATGGTAGATGGTTTTCGTTGTAGGATTATATTGTGATATGACCTATGCATCTATCAGTAGATGTCCGGAGTGAGTCTTCCTTCTGCTTCAAGACTTACTACTGTGCATGCTCCACAACCCCCCTCGGCGCATCCAAGCTTTGTCCCCGTGAGTCCGATACCCCGAAGGTATTCTAGCAGAGTGACTTCTGGATCTGCGGTGTCCAAGATTACAGGCGTACCATTGAGATAGAACCGGAGGGTATCATCATATACGGACGTGATCGACTGCAGAGACTGTATCGCCTCACTAGAGACAGCTGGCTCTATGAGACTTGGTGCCATAACCACAACCACGTTGGCGTTATCAAGTATCAAATGCACGTGGAGAAGGAAAAGGGTGGTAAACAGAAGTGTGTCAAGTGGAATGAAGAGAGCCTGCGTCTGACGATGGAGCAAGTGGGGTGGTTGAGCTATTCTATGAAGCCTCAGAGGCAAACGAGTAAATGTAGGCTTGAGATGTCCGGATATAGAAACACAAACGAATCAGAGATTGGCGAGAGCCGCTTATCACCAGTTCGCAGGTAGGCGAAGTCCGTTCCGGGGATGCGCTCGAGAAGTTAGCCCAGGGACCCGACAGGATCGGATCATGTGATTCAGAGAAAGCAGTAACGCTTGCGGCGAGTAATTATTACTAGTGTTGATTGGATAAATTTAGGCCATTCTCCTAGGTCGCTTTCGTCGTCCAAAGCTGTAGTCCTCCTTCGATGTGCCTCTGGTCAGCTGTAGTCCTGTTTCGTTCTTCGCATTAGTCATGCGCCTCATAGAACGAACCGTCTACGTCACCTATCAAGGGCGTCAATAATTACCCCGCAATACGAGTGTTCCAATTCCGAACATCCTAGTTGTTGTACGTAGCTGGGGAATACATGCTACTGACAGCAATGACTTCAAATCGCGGGATATCGTAAGCCGCAAACAATATCGTCTGTTATTCTTATCCATCCACAGGACATATGGCTATCAAAATACTGTACTTGGTGCACTATGCCCATTTCCGGTAAACGTATGGTTTGACTGGCCGACCGTCTACCTCGGGTCCAATATACCGGTATACAGACTGTCAAACAATCCCACCACATCAACCTATACATTTCCAGTCTCCTGTTTATTTTTTGTTCACTATCCCCTCTTCATACATCAGAACACCCATAGCTTTTCAGCATGACTGGCCGTCTCGAATTAAAGGTCGCCATCGTCACCGGCGCAAGCAGTGGGATTGGGAGAGCTATCGCTCTGAGGTATCACGAGGAAGGGGCGTTTGTCGTTTGCTCTGACATAAACGCCAAGGCAAAGGACAAGTCCGAGCAAGACATTAGCACTCACGAATTTATCATCAAGGATGGCGGCAAGGCGATATTTGTAAAGTGTGACGTGAGAAGCGAAGAAGAGGTAGAAGCCTTAATTAGGCAAGCTGTGGAAGAATTCGGACGACTTGATATGTAAGCCTAGGTTTCATTCATCGATTGTCGATTCGCCATACTCGCTGCTTTTGTCTAAGTCGCAGCAGTATGGTCAACAACGCCGGCATTGCATCTGAGGCATCGCACCCTATGCCATTATGGGAGCAATCGCTGTCGAACCTCGAGACAACTCTGAACGTCAACACGAAAGGGGTCTTTCTGGGCCTGAAGCACGCTGTGAGGCAGATGCTTGCACAAGAACCTCATCTTAACGGAGATCGTGGCTGTGTTGTGAACACAGCCTCAATTTTCGGCTTAGTCGGCGTCGCCGGGAGTGCTTGCTACGTGGCGAGCAAGCATGCCGTCATGGGCTTGACGAAGTCCGCGGCACTTGAGTGCGCAAAGCATAAGATTCGTGTTAATGCATTATGTCCCGGTTGTAAGTTTCTGTGAGGTTATAACATGCTGAAGCTAGAGCTAAACGTGCATTCAGTTACTATGAGTGCGATGACTGATGATTTTATGAAAAACAAGCCCGTGGCCTTACATTATAGCACTTTGCATCCGCTGGGCGGGTATGCAAGGCCGAAAGATCTGACTGGTGCAGCAGTTTTCCTAGCTAGTGATGATGCCTCCTGGATGTGTGGACAAGGACTCACAGTGGATGGAGGTTTTACGGCGCAGTGATCAGGACCCTTATCCCTCTATCTTGTCCGCTTGTACGTATTGATAAGGGCTCAATCTGGCGCAAAATCATTTGTGATCTTCCGATGCTGAGCCAACTGACAAATGTTTCCTGGCTTCAGTGTATAGCCGCTTGATAGATGTCGCCCTCCTTCATTTTCCGTCAATCTCCCGCCTCTATGTCTCCATTCTGTCAGGGTCACTTTGTCTACATTTTGCGGACCAAGTGGTCTGATCCTTGCTTCCATGTTACCCCTGTATCTTAGAAAGTGTCCGCCCACAATCCATTTCACATCTTTGACAGTTAGACACAGATCGGGATTCGCCACAGAAAACTTTATCGCCCAAGTGAGCGTCCGTGCTTCGATTCCTAACGGCCAGTGTGTGACTCCCTGAGCAAGGGAAGCAAGTAGTGGGAAAGTGCGCGATGCAGGAGGCACATCCCGTGGAGGTGTAAGGCGCGTTGTGGATATATCTTTGTTGGACTTGTGGACATGTCTGGCGGCTGCGCTCGTATTCTCATGACGCCGACCGCAGGTAGGCTTCCTTAATATCGACGATGCGCACTGTCGAGTGAGGCAGCCATCATTCCGGTGCCAGTTCTGCTACGAGTCAGCATATCGACGGGTGGTATAGCAACGATCCGATGTACTTGCCAACATTGAAGAGAGATCAGACGCTGTATAACCGTTGCTAATTAGACGGCAGCAGATACTCGGCCACTGCACGTGGTTTGGGAAGAAGGCCTGAGTTTTTAGCCATCTCTTTGTAAGTTATGGGTTGTTGACTCACGAGAATTTCTTGCGAGCTGATATCTACATCAGGAGGAAGGTGGGCATTAATATTCGGTGCAAGTTTGAATATAAGCCGATCTCTCTTTCGCCGCTGGACCTTGCATGGTATTCCTGGAGAAGATTTTTGCGTGGTCCATATCGTCGCCATGTGTATACTTTCGGAGCTAGTGTCGGAGGGCTGTAGATTGGACTTCGTATTGTCCCTTTTAAACTCTTGATATTTTTCCATAGAGACTAATAGCTTGATGACTAGTGATTTCGGTCTTGGTATGGGGAGTTTAATGATGAGAGACTTCGGCCGAGAAATCGGCAGCTTCACAAGCAATGAAACTTGCGTCGATTGGCGCTTCTCGTTGAGATCAACTAGTTCTGAGGAGTATTTGTCTTCAGACTCAACGTGGTCGAATTGCTCGACAAGATCATGGTCAATACTTTCTTGTCTGATTCTATGGAGACAATGGTCAGTGATACGGCTGCGGATGCTAGCCGCCAGGCCGATCTCGACAAGGTCATATCTGCTGATATCAACAGACTGGAGCGGTAGTACAGAGCGGACTGTCGTAATGGACGAGCGCGTCGGAAACTGATCATGGCTTTTCGAAGCTATATCTTCCACGAGACCAGATGGGTAAGCCAAGTCATTCGATATATCGACCAAGTCTGCTGATGGTAGAATACTTTGGCCTCCACCTCGAAAAAGACTATACCGCCTTTTGCGTGGGTCAGCCGGACTTGGCAAGAGTGCCGTAATTGAGGCTTGAATCGGCGAATACTGATCTAGTGATATACGACGTCGTTTGTTCGAGTAGAATGATACATCGCTGTGAGGACGCTTGTGCTCTTCAACAGATACATCTGTTGGTGTGAAGGTGAGTAATGACATGGTGAACTTTTGGCAGCGTGTCCTGCGATCTTAGAGCCGCGATTTCGCGATACCACGAAATTTATTTTATCATTGGAAGGTTCGACAAGCATCATAATGCTTTTCAACAATGTTGGCAACAACGGTGTGTTGGCAAGACAAAGTAGGAATTGCGTGCTTGGTGTTGACAAAGCTACAACTTGCGACCAAGGGAAGCTTTGAGGCACAGTGTCGACCTTCGACACTAGTGAAGATGTTGAGTGCCATTCTGGAACGTGGGTGCGCGCAAGCCGTCGTACAAGGTCGCAAATTAGTGAAAGCGACAGTCATCTATCCAACGCCGGCGTTCCATGAGTCGACCAATGAAACATCTAATAGAAGAATTGGGAGACCTGTAGAAATCATTTGCCTCGAGAGAAGGCGGTCTTCAAAGCCTCGAAATGGGCCCGCAGCTCACCCGCGAGACGTCCATCGGTATCTGCTAGAATGGTACCTACTAGACTATAGTTGTTGTATAGAAACCGCTCCCTTTTCCTTTGTTCATTGATTGCTTTACTCAGTTTGGTGAGATAGGCCTCGAACTCACTCCGTAACCGTGTCAAACTATTTGTGACCGGTTCGTCATCTCCAGCTTCACTACTGAGAGCAGCTATACCTTGAAGAAAGCTTGCGAATTTTTGTGTCAAAGGATGAGGAGCTGTCGAGGGAGCGCTGGTCGGCGAGAGCAAACTGCTAGATGCCCCCGTCACGTTCATACGACGTAGGGATTCACATTGCAAATCCATGATCTGTTGGAACCGTGGCCAGAGGAGCATATTTGTCGCGTTGATGTATCCTTCAACGGCAGGAATTTTGCGCCGTTGTAACTCAAATGCGAAATGCTGATTTAGGCGTACGCATAACAGTATTCCAAACGCATCTGTTGTATTCTCGATAAGTTTCTTCGTCAGAGCTTGAGCTAACGCAAACGTGGGCTCAAACACAGATACGAATGTTCGTGAAAGAGTATGATGTGAATGCGAAGGGCTGAAATAAGACGTAAGAAACGTGTATTCGAAAGAGGCATTATCGATCAACGCGAGGTTGAATGTACGAAAAGGTACTTCGATGTGGTGACTTGATTTATCCTCTTCGGCAAGATAGGCTGTGAGGGCTCCATGAGAAGCATGCCTCAACACTTCCATGCGGCGGCCTAAAGCAAACGAATCGTGAGATGTCCCGGGTGTGCGTGAGCTACTTAACAAGCTAGTCCTCTTATTAGTTTCCTCTTGACCCAGAACTTCATGTTTGTCAATTGTATGCATCTTTAATTGTTCAAGTGCCTTCTCATAGCGTGTAAAGTTGGTCAGATAATACCAACGCATCGTATTCACGTACGCTTGACATATGTCAGACCCAAGTTGGGGTTGATGTTTGGCTAGGAAAGCGTATAGGTCCCTGTAACGTAGAAATGCTTGCTGTTGGATTATCTGGGCGTTTATGCTCGGGGATCGTATGGCCTTGACTTGCGCAACAATGTGGTCGCGTATGCGCTCGATAGCCTATAGTGGTCAGTAGGGCCCATATCCAATGTTGCAAGAGTGCCTTACCCTGTCGGTTAAGCTGGATATGAAGGGTCTGGCATCTTCAAGCGCTTTCATAGACTTGTCAGGCTTCCCCATCAACGCCTTATATCGCTTCTCTAGCTCCATTAGAGCTCGAGAATAGCTTTCATCGATCACGCCCTCTGAAATTTTGCGCACTACCGCAGGAGGGATTCCAAGCTCTTCAACTGACGGTCCGAGAAGCTTCTCGACCTTTCTTCGATTATCAAGTTGCATGTTCAGGCTCATGGATCGCGACTGCAGAGTTTCGATTTCTGCTGAAACAGCTCCCAGGTCTGTCTGGAAATTCGTCAAGTATATCTCCACCGATTTGAGAACATCGTCACAGGCCTATACTCCTGTCAGCAATGACCTAGCTTAGGTCGACAACGTGTAGTACCAATATCGAGCGGTGAAGATCTTCGAACTTGTCTCTTTCTTGGTCATCTAAGACACCATTAACACGTAGTTGGCCGAGAAAAACGATACCGTACATTCTTGGGCTGAGTGTGCACTATAAGTATGTACATGCAAAGGAACATGACGGCTAGTAAAATCTTGCTTTGCGAATGCTTCAAGACTGAGGCCTCCGAAATCTATGTTCTCTTCGAGGCCCACTGGCCTCTCGACCCCGACGTCATGGAAGCCATTTTTATCGATCAAAGCTTGTCTTCTCGATGGACTACCAACTATCTCTTGAAGTACCAAAAGAGGATCAGAGATGTCGGCAGAGGTAGGGCCGTTGAACTGCCGCCTCAATTGTGATCCATTGGCTTGCTTCACGGTTGAAGAGAGACTATGGGTAGATGTAGACGGCGACGCAGCTATGGATAGGGACGAAGATCGAGGGTTTATACCAGGTCTCAAGCTGCCACCAGCCTGGTGCGGCCTTCGAGGTGGCGCGGGAGAGTAGCTTCGGTCTTGCGGTGAAGATATTCCACTGGGCGTAGATTGCGTTGGGAAGCGCCCTAGCTGCATAGTCTTTAACCTCTTTATTGAGCACTGGACTGACACTGTCAGGGCTCGACACAATGCTGACACAAAAGAAGTATAGAATGATTAGCAGGAGTCGTTGGAGTGCGATTCGACGAGAGCTCAAACTGGAAGGACGTCGCGCTGTCAGCATTAAACGGCGTTATATTTCGCCGATGGGAAGGTTAGCGTGTTGCTTCAAGTGTTCTCACCCGTTGTGGGAAAGCCTGCCTTTGCCGCCACTGCTGGGCATTTTTTTGATCTCCACCCCGCTTGCAGCCCGCACAACGCTTCCTGACTTCAGACTGAGGCTTTGAATCTCTTTTCCCCTCATCTTTGTCCCCTAAACAACTCTTCCTCCTACCCATTACCTCGTCAATCCTATCTTACATCTCCCACCATGGCGGACGACGCTCAGGTCAGTTGCGAGTCTCCTTCACGACTTTTCCTTTTTCGCATGTGCCCCACCCTCCCGTCGCGAAAATGCGCGATAACATGAAGAGAGTTATCAAAAAGAGCATGCACAAGACTAATAAACGGTCTACAGCATGAACACACCTTCGAGTCCGCCGATGCCGGTGCCTCAGCTACCTACCCTCAGCAGTGCTCCGCTCTGAGGAAGAACGGCTTCGTTGTTATCAAGCAGCGCCCTTGCAAGATTGTCGAGATGTCCACTTCGAAGACCGGAAAGCACGGTCACGCCAAGGTCCATCTTGTCGCTATTGATATTTTCACTGGCAAGAAGCTCGAAGAACTTTGCCCGTCCACCCACAATATGGATGTTCCCAATGTCCGTCGCCAGGAATACCAACTTGTACGTTCTGAAATCGTTCTCAGTAGACAACTACTGACACTTAATAGCTTGATGTTACCGATGATGGCTTTCTTTCCCTCATGTCTGACGATGGCTCTACCAAGGACGATGTTAAGATCCCGGATGGTGAGGTCGGTGACAAAATCAACAAGATGTTCACCGAGGATGGCAAGGACACTAGTACGCTCCTCCCCTCTATGCACTATTCGAGTTATGCTAACTCGATAGATGTGATTGTTCTCACTGCGATGGGTGAAGAATCTGCCATCGATGCTAAGGAGGCCCCCAAGAGCGGTTAAAGCTTGCCAGTGTTGGATTTTGGGAGCATTCGTTAGAGGCACAAAGAGCTGAGAGCGGGGATATGTGAGCTGTGTAAAATCATATGATATGCACTTTAAAGTGGGTACCATTGATCAATGGGATATTGAGGGCATATTTGTCTCCTAGCATGTTAGGGCCTCTTCTCTCGCGGAGTTGATTGTCGCGATATGATCGCGCGCACGGAATTCTGCCATTGGCGAACATGTGTCCAAAATCTTTAGTGAAACCAAAGAATCTAAGATTAGATGTGCAAAGTCCTGTCTAAGAAAGTGCTTTCATTTTCGAAATATGAACGATTGTCGAAGGCCGTGAAAAAGCTTGGTAGCCCACCCAGCCTTTCCTTATACTTGCTTCGCACACGGCCTGCTTTTTGCCTACAGACAACAACAAACGTCAACAAGACATTATTTTGTCGAGTGCGCACCCATAGCCTATGGATGAGCTCGATTTTACGCAGGTCATTAAAGGCCAGAGATGTGGCATCGATAATTGTCCGTCGCGAACTTATTTTCTGGAAAATGGATTTTACCTATGCAAGAATGGGCATAGGCGTTCGGTGAGCCATCGCGCGTGACTCCGACACGTCCCAATGACTTAAATCTTCAAGGGAGACCCTATTGCAGGTGCAGACGATGAATCCCAATCTGCACCCGGACAGGTCACGAGGAAGAAGAGAGAAACGGTAGTTTTGCACGGGCAACGTAGGTTAAGTGATAGATAACCAAGCGTGCTGTTGCTAATAGCCTCCGAAGTGCTCGAGGGTCGCGAAGCCTTTGAACTTTACTTATTATGCTATCAGCTGATATTGAGGAAATGGGCCTGGGTATTAATGAAGGACAAGGGCTTCCCGGACAAGCTCGAAGTAAGTAGCATCCATTGCTGTGTACCGCTCTGGATGAATATGTCCGGTTAGATGAACATTGGATGGAGCGGTGGAGATGGACAGTCGCACTCCACGTGGAAGCTGCGGTAAAGCCTGGACGTCTCGACTTCGAGAGTCAACAGATTCGCAAAGACGAATTTAGCCCAACATCTAAGCGCTTGCATTTGTGCTAATCATCTTCTCAAAGGCTATCATCCGGGAGCTTTGGCAATTGCGCCTGACCAAACTCCACGATCGACTCCCAGACGATGCTACCGACACGGACGGAGAATCACAGTTTTACAGCTCACACTCAGAAGATGACAAGACACCACAGGAAGCCGGTCTTGACGACGCGCGACTCCGGCGGCACGGCAGAAACCCTACCACAACCCCAAGCCTTATGGACGCCATTGCCTTATGCTACATTGGTCTTGTATGCTTGAGAGTTCCTGTCACATTAGGAGATCTCACCGAATGGATCGAGCGTGGGGAGCTCAAATACTACCGCGCAATCTCGTTGATCCCGAAAAACATGAGAACCCGTCTACCGGCTACACACCGCCGCATGCTCGAGCCAGAGGATACACTCAAGCCTGCATACCTACAGAAAGCAGTTCTTGATCTCTCCATTCTGTACGAGAGGGTTCATGGAGTCACCTTTCCGCCCCTCAACACTCCTCCACTTCTCTTCAGACTGCTGCAAACTCTAGCTCTACCCATCGAGGTCTATGCTATGGTACCTCGCCTTGCACAGCTTGTCGGCTATACGTTTGACTACTCGAAGGCCGTGAGCACGCGCCGTTACCAGAGAACTGATATACCAGAATTGCAATTAGCATCCCTTATTGTGATCGCAGTAAAGCTCCTATGCCCATTCGATGAGATAACTCGCCATCCGACGCATTCCTCAGAACCTGCTGGTGCATTGATAGATTGGTCAGTCTGGATCAAGAGCATGAGACAGTACCAGCCGCCAGATGCAACTTCACGCCTTTCTGACGCGGAATCGTTACTATTGAAAGAATCAGACGTTTATGTAATGTCCGACCATGATCTGGATTATTACCTGGATTGGTATCAGCGTACGTGGGTCAACGAGACGCTAGACGTTAAGAACAAAGACGCAGACTTTCGCACAGAGTTATTCAGACCGTTCCCACTGGATCAAGAAGTCTCTGGGCTGTACTCTCCAGTTAGCAAGGCTAGTACCGATAGGGTACTGCAAGGTCTGACTAGACTGCGAGCAGTACAACAAGCGCTGCTAATTGTCGGAGCCGTGACAGATGAGCAAGCAGCTGACATGGACAATATTACATTACGGCCAGGTGTGCGATATCCTATAGATCGCAAGATCGAGGATATTGAAGGCCATAAGAAGCTGTTCTACTATGAGACGGCGCAGAAGATCGGTGTAGCCCTGAAAGACTTGGTAGAAGCGGTCTACAAAACTGAGAAGAAGCTGTCTCGATGGCAGAAAGAGACGGCACAGTCCAGGACTAAGGATAAAGCCCTGGAACCAGATGCATCAGTTTAACGATAGAGCCTTTAAAAGAGCTTTCTGACCTTGGTAGGGTCGTGCCTTATGCTGGCGTAAACAACACGGTATTGAATGGGATACTTTTCGTATCTTCCCATGGCTTGATAGCGAAATACCTTATTTGAGCGAGAACATTGCTGCAACAATGGTCTGAATTATCCCACTGTATAGTGTGTCACTCACCTTGCTTGCTCTTACACGCTTGAATGGAATTCAACCCTCGCTTAGCAAGCTTGGTCCGTGCGTGACCGCCGCACCGATATTCTTTCAATCTCAGTGCCGGTTCTACACCTCTTCTTTCGATACGGATCTTTGCACCACACAACAGCGCAAACAGTAAGTGCTCACAATCCATCTACATTTCAACAGATAGCTAACTCAATTTCCTCGTTGTAGTGCAGATGTGAGTCGACGATACCCGCGTTAAGCTTCTCACCGACCCCACTGACCGTTCCCCTCTCAGTTTCGTCAAGACCCTCACGGGTAAGACCATCACCCTCGAGGTCGAATCCAGCGACACCATCGACAATGTGAAGTCCAAGATTCAGGACAAGGAGGGCATTCCCCCAGACCAACAGCGCTTGATCTTCGCTGGAAAGCAACTTGAGGATGGACGGACTTTGAGCGACTACAACATTCAGAAGGTGCGCAAAGCAGGAGACTATCTTATATTGCAGCCATCATGAATTTGATGTTATATTGACAATACAATACGAACATTGCTGACTGGGAGTCTACAGGAATCGACTCTCCACTTGGTACTTCGACTTCGCGGTGGAATTATCGAGCCCTCCCTCAAGGCCCTCGCCTCGAAATACAACTGTGACAAGATGATCTGCCGCAAGTGTTACGTACGTCAATTTCGCTTCATCGTATCACTACTGGCTATTGTAAGGTATCGCTAACAGGCTAGACAGGCTCGTCTACCCCCACGTGCCACGAACTGTCGCAAGAAGAAATGTGGCCACACCAATCAACTTCGCCCAAAGAAGAAGCTGAAGTAGATATGTGAGCATGATTCGGGCAGAGGACCGGGCCATTGGACGGAAGGAAGGATCATTATCTGGAGTTCGTTCACGACGGGATTGTAGATTAAATTCCAATGGATGCCTTTGCATCCTTACGGTCCAAAGAACATTGTGAAATGTTTACGTTATGAGGTCGTCAATACCCGCATGTTTATGCATCAGCCGCATGGCAGCATCGCCAAGCTGTAGAGATGCTCATAAAGTACCTCATGACGCTGAGTAGACAGTGCGATTCGTGGACCACCAGCTTAAAGCTAATTCTACCCTCCAAGGGCAACTCAGTTGTGATTCTTATACAAGCATGTGTTCAATCTGTTCACTTCGCACTTGTGTTATACCAAGACAGTTCATGAATATTATGTAAGTCTGCGCAGGCAGCCCTGAAGCGTGGATATGTCACATGTGCATAGTGGGATGTTTCGTGTGATCCACGTGCTGCCGTCTGGTTGCGCGGAGTTTACCTTTATCTCTGCCTCTCGATGGAGTCATGACTATGGGACCAATTTTACTTTACAGTACGCAATTGTTGAGGCATTTCATAATGCGACTTTCAAGACGCGACCCTCTAGCAACGGGCTGGAAAGTTGTGACATTTATACCCTTAAGCTGGTCCCAGCCGTATATATGTATATGCAAGCCCAACGCGTAGGCAGAAGGAGCCTATGAAAACGCGTATGAAGGTGGATCGAATGCGTAAGCGGGGCAGTCTGCAGCTGGTGACACGCGATGGACCAAGCCTGCTTGGAAATAAAAGAATAGAGTGATTAGAAGGAGAAAAGAGCTAAAGTATCATTATGCAGGGCATCTAGCATAAATCATATTTGCGACACTGACATGGACTTATTGTGTGCTCGGAGTGGTTCATACAAGAGTGCCGGTGCAGACATTGGGAGGAAGAAGATTCGCGAGTGTGCATACTTTGTGCAAGATAATTCAAGCCAATACAAACAGAATTGAGACCATAACTCCAAGTGTGCAATTGAATTCTAGACGTCTCTGTAGTTGTACTTTGCATATTACCTAGGCATCCAGTAATAGTGAAAGTTATACAAGGCCAAAGCGCCACAATTGCGCCGGCCACCGCGAGCAGACCAACGCGTTGCAAGCTTGAAATTCACCCAGCCAGCCCTCCCACTTCTTCTCTACTTCTCCTCTAGAACCGATCTGTGACCTCGTTCTCATACATATTCTCTCTCAAATTAAACTTCATTTGACTATACGTCGATAAACGTTTCGATTCTATCAGAAAGTCTACTCAATTCCAAACCGTTCCAGTCGCGTTCCTCGCATTGCGTGTCGACGAACGCGCCTTTCGCAGAACCATACCACGTCGGAATCGCGTCTTTCGTGACTGGCCACCACAATGAGCTCAATCACTCCTTTAGACACCTCCCAGCAACCACGGGACCCGTCAGAATGCTCCTCTCTGGCGCGAAAACCTTCACTGTTACCTGCATTTGAGCTACTGTCATCGTCACCAGTCGCACGATCACTTACCACGAAACGCAAATATGAAGACGACTCGCCTTGCAAAAGACAACCAGAGGTCAAATACTACCCCACACCAGTACCTACCTCTTCAACAGGCATCTTGCCCTCCTCGCCGTCCGCCCGTTCGACGCGTCCGAGACTGCAACGTACCGCGTCCACTGTGTCCCAACGTGCAGCCTTGACTGCTATGCCCTCAGTGGATCTTCCAGCCGATGGAACAGTCGTTACCATGGGAAGGTCTAGCAACTCCTCAGACTACCAACTCTCCGTCAATCGCTTGATCTCACGTGTACACATCCTGGCATCGTATTGTGCCCCGACCATATCTCACAAAGATGGCGAGGTTAGGGTGGAATGCACCGGCGCGAATGGTGCAAAAGTACACTGTGGGGGCCGGGCTCATCATCTGAGTAAAGGCAGCACGTTTTCGTCAGATAAGAAGAGGGAAGAAATCATGATAGATGTGCAAGATGCCCGCGTTGTCCTCGTATGGCCGTACGTACCACGACGATCGTTGATAGACCAACAAGCAGAGTCAGCATGGAACGTGGATGATTCACCTTCGAGGCGGTTACCGTCTTCTCCACCGAACATATTTGCGTCAAGTCCGCCACCATTCAATATGTCCCCTGCCTCGACAAGCTGCAATCGCCAACTCGAATTGGCAGGAACCTTCACTGGTGATCATGAAATCAAAGTATATGAGGACGCGGATACGAGACAAGGGGAAGAGAACACACACGTGACCGATGAACCTGTTTCTGTAAACGATGCAGCGCCTAGTCGGAAATCACGATCCAATACTCATTCCATGGAGAATCTCCGAGGGTCAACTCAAAGTAGTGCTCTATCATTCCCACCCGATGATCTGTCAGATCCTGACGAAGAGAACGATCCCATCATCCACTCATTTGGCCCCTTTGGAGATGATATTCTGGGCCGCATGGCTTCTTTCTCAACTGAGAGCAATCCTATGGCATCACCCCAACGGCGCCGGCAGGTGCTAAAATCTTCCCCCAGATCTCCTGCTCGCAAAGCAAGTCATGCGGTCGTCTCGAAGATTAATGAGTCACCTATTAGAAATCATGTCATCAATCAGCTCGCATTCTCGCGTCTCCACTCCATTCCCTTGTCGACCATCATGGGCAATCTACCTGCAGAGCTCAAGGGCCAGGCGACTTCGTCCAACTTCAAAATAGATTCGCAAGATGACACCACTCGGTTAGATCTACTTAGCCGAGATGCCTTGAAGACTATCCTCGACAACATTCCATGTGTTGGTGAGATCGCTAGAGAAGGCAAAGACGCTGCGGGGAAACGACTTGAGAATGAGTTCTACTATGTCCCTGAGATGGATAATGACCAAGCTCGTCGGGACACTGTCACTGGAGGTCTTGGCAAGACTGGACTCCGCGCTGTACGAAAAAACCACAAGGTAGGTCTTTCCAGCAAGGTCGTGAGAGACGTTTCGCTAAACAACACAGCAATACTACTGGAAGAAGCCTCGTTGCTAGTCCACACAAACTGCTCTACACGGTCTTCAAGCTTCTATGGTCCAACACAGAACAGAAGGACCCTCAAAATCATCTTGATCATATACCTACCCCTCAATACAGATAACCTTCGCCGTATATACCTGTTTTTGTCTTCACTTCTGCGTTTTGCATAGCGCGCGGATTCCTGTTAAATTTCTGCTACCCATACCCTTCTGACATGTCATGTCTTCTCCTTCTGTTACGCAGTGCATCCTCAATTATTTATACGGCCATCACTTGAAAGGCGGTTTTGCCGTAGTGGTCATGATGCGGAAGACTTACGTCAGCTCATCGTGTGAGTGAAGACAACAACGGATGTCGGGCAACTCATGCTCAGAGGCATGCGATTCTTCCTGTCGATACTGGTATTGCTACCCAGATGTCTAGGAGGTAGTGTGTTCATCTTGAGACCCCATAATTTGCTCGTTCTTACACGAGGAGAACGAGCTTGTTTGCAGCTCTGCTCATTATCTACTATACATGTGCTAACTAAGTCCTGTACTCAATAGACCTACGTAGGACCAAAAAAGTTGTTGTATTGAACATGTTCTACTGGGTCATGGTTCTAGTCACCGTGCTTTAGATATTATAACAAGATACTGTTGCGATTTCGCAATTCCGTTACTTAATTTCGGGAGTCTCAAAAGGCCGTTTGATTGTACCTTCTCATTCGTGGACTACCGTAAAGCTAGGACTAGCGAACCAATGAAAATGCTCGTTAAGATTACTACTTCGGGCTCCAATAATGACATCCGCAGATTGGTGCGCTGTGTAAGTCGTTAAGGCAACACATACGTACATATCGATCGTGTAACTACCAGTCAAATATTTCTTCTACTATTCTGGGGTATATCCAAGCAATTTAGCATAGCCCTAAGTGCCATGTATTCACATGTAGTTATACGATATTAGTGATTACAATGATTACACGACCAACTGGGCTCTGGTACAGCCTCTCATTAGCATATTCATTGTTAAACCACACGAAAAGTGCCACTGTCCTTATCTTGTGACATTAATTGACTTTGCAAGCATTCCACCAAATGCCTCAAAGTGATGTAACAGCTTAGTCATCTTTCGTTAGCCGAGCCTGCCAAATACGTAGAGACCAGCCTGAGGGTCTGTGCGCAGGCGGTGTGAAAATTGATTGCACTCTTGGCACCTCGCGCTACTCCCAAGAAAAGTCGGCAGCACTAGCAACTGCTGCAATATCGCAGAGAACAACTCGACACACACAAGAATGGCGCGCGATAGTAAAGCACTCGCTGTAAAAAGTGATTCTCAAGCCAAGCCAGAGCCCACACAAGTGAATCTCTAATTCCCTCGATTCTTGTCTGCTGCTAACTTCTTTAGATCTTGAAGGCGACTAAAGCCCTCGTAAAACATATCAGGAAAGATCTCGCGACGAAAGAAGGAGACGAGCCGAAGACAAATCTACTTGCAGATGCGGACCAGGAGGACGATGACGATGAGGACGATGTTCCCGTGTGGCTATTGATCACAACCAAAAAGCACATTGTCGACAAACAACGATTAAAGCCAGGAAAAGTGTGAGTTCAGTGCTCGTCGGTTCCTGTGTCCTAAAAACCTGACACTGTGGTCTTAGGAAAGTCCCACACACTCTCCATGCATCGCCCAATACTCGCATTTGCCTCATCACGGCCGATCCCCAGCGGAGATACAAAGATATTGTCGCACATCCCTCCTTTCCGCCAACACTTGCGTCGCGCATCGGCCGCGTTATTGGCATGAGCAAATTGAAAGCGAAATACAAGTCCTACGAGAGTCGGCGACAGTTGTATGGGGAGTACGACATGTTCCTTGCCGATGACCGCATCATCACAGGTTTGCCTCAAGTACTCGGCAAGATATTCTACAAGGGCAGCGCCAAGAGGCCGATTCCTGTATCTCTGATCGGCGATGAGAAGAAGTCGAAAGATGCAGTAGCCAAGAGACCACAGCAGTCAGCCAAAGAAAAGGTTGGCGCACAAGTCGGCGAGGCCCAGGCTGTCGCAAGAGATATTGAGCGTGCCCTCAGCTCTGCGTTGGTGCATCTTTCGCCTGGTACATCGACATCAATCAAAATTGGGCTGGCGAGCTGGGACCCGAAGAAACTGCAGGAGAACGTCGAGGCGCTGGTGCCGGCCGTAGTCGAAAAGTTTGTACCACAGAAATGGGCCAATGTACGCTCTATACACATCAAAGGCCCTCACACCACAGCGCTCCCAATCTGGCTTGCAGAAGAGCTGTGGGTTGATGAGAATGTGGATGTCACCGAGACCAAGTTTGAGCCGCCAACGAAGCTTCAGCGAAGAGCTGAGCGGAGAGAGCGAAGAAAGTTGATTGAAGCCGCCGAGGCTACCTACGAAGCACCAAGCGCGATTGAAGAGTTTGATGAGGTCAATGAAGATGGTGTTATCGAGAACCCCAGCAAGAAGAGGAAGCGCATCGATAAAGACGTTGCAGATATGCTTGCAGTAAGGAAGGCGACTGCAAAGAAGATGAAACAGAAGGTCATGGACGAAGCAGGTGGAGTGTCTTTATGATTGCATGTTTGGAGTTCGGGATATGGTGTCTGGAGCATACCACTAGACGCCTTTCTCATTTGTATGGTATAGTAGAAAAGTATTGCACGCAACGGGCAGGCTGCGCGTAGCAGACGAGGTGAAAATTTATGAAGCTCTATTTGAGTTCCTGATATTTTAGGTATTCTTGGACCTTTCCGAGTGCACTCTTAGACGTTGGTCCGAAGAACTCTTTAAATGCCTGTCTGAGGTCCTCGTCGTTCAGGTGCATGTGCTCACCCTCGACATTCTTGAAGTGCAGCGCACCCTTCTTATCCAGTTTCTTCAACCCTATCCAGTCCTCTTTATATATCCTTCTGTCCTGAAGAGGAGTTACCGTCCCGTTCGTCAGATTCGTCACCTGCGCAAAGTGTCCGCTCTCTTTCGGAATCGCCACTGTGTCATTTGCAAAAACATACATGGCAAAGTTGCTTAATGATGCCAGATTTTTCGCGTACGTTTTGTTCTTTATGTCTCTTTCATTATTGATGTCCGCGAGAAAGTTAGAAAACCCTAGGTACTCTTCTGTCGGTTCCCCTGTTGTCTCGTTCACGCTACGATAATACTGAGCCGGCACAAGTCGATTTTGTACAAATGACGACCATGTGTTACCACGTAACAGTGCCATCGCACCCTTACATAGCCAGTCTGTCAAGCCGCAATGCTGAAACTCGGCGATTCCATTGTGCTGGCTTCCAAACGTAACCAAATTCTTGACGGGTGGGGCATTACACCGTTCGATATATCCTCTAAGAAATTGACCGCCTTGTGAGAAGCCTAGAGCATTGATCGCGGGTGCAGAGCCGATGATCGGCTCCTGTCGTAGCGCCTCGCATACTTGTTCGATCTGGGTTGTGAGGTTGCCGAAGAATGTAGCGCTGCGGTCAGCGGACGGGTCGTCGTCGCCGCCCAGTCGGATTATGTATACGTAGGTACCTGGGTTGACTTCTTCGGCGAGAGCTGCGACATCTTGGATGCCTTCGTTGGCAAAATTGTCACCAAGGCCATGCCAGATGACGAGTGGGAGGGGATTGGCGTCAGTGGAGGAGAACAGCGATGGAAAAGCAAGCGCGGAGGGGACGAGCAGAGCTGTAAATATGGACCGCATTTTACTGTTAATGTGAGCATGCGACGACAGGTCGGTATGGTGGCTGGTATACTCTCAAGGTGAAGCTTGAAGCTGAAGCTTGGGGTGATGACGATGCCTGCACGGCGGCAACGCTAACTTGCTTCTGGAATAGCGCAGAGCGTGGGAACTACCACCGCCTACTTGATTAACATGACCGTTGCACAATTAATTAAGTATTCCCAGGACATCAGACTTGTTCGGAGACACTTATGAAACCTACCCTGTCTCTGCTGTTGATCTTAATGCCAACAGTCAGATAACCACCAAGACAGCATTGACTGACAATCCTATCACAAAGTTGATAACCACCCCTATGAGACCCACATTGTTCTCATATGAAGAAGAGCGATGCAATACAGGTACTCTTGCAAGGATGATACAGGATTAAACTTGAAGAAGCAAAGCATCGTACGGGGTTTTGCCTTCTTATAGGCACCTTGCAGACGTGATAAGGTGTCAAAACCTTCACTCTAAATTCGATCGATTTTGCTGATCAGACGAGCTTCGTAGGAAGTGTCTGTGTCCGATCATAGACAATGAAGAAGCGAAGGCGTCAATAAACTGCGGAATGTAAGGCTGTTTGACCGGAGTTACATGCGGTGTTTGACCTGACTGGCCATGTGAACATGCGAAACACGACCATTAGTCTTGACCAAAGTCGCACGGGATTGCGCGATCACCCAAAACCGATTGCAGCTGTTTCGAATAACTACCCTTACTTACAATTCACCAAATATGATCCGAACTACAGCACTTTAGACGAATATTAGCCAGTTGAACAAACTTTTGACGTACACGAGTCAAATATGTTTCTACGAACATGTCTTGGACGGAGCCATTTCAATCTGATCTACTTCACCCTGAGTCCCATTGAACAGACACCCACAGGCTTGAACTGAACACAATACAAATACATAGACGAACACATCACCTTTCGACATTTGATAGTAACCCCCAGCTAGACTAAAGGGTACCTAACTTCGATAGACTTATACAGATCAACGTCGTAGGGATTGAAAACACATCGCCGTCAAAGTCACCATGAATTTACCATCTGAGGCGGAGGTCATTGTTGTCGGTGGAGGGCCGACCGGTATGGCCCTAGCTACAATTCTTCATGTTAACGGTATAAATGCAATACTGATTGACGCCGCTGACCAACCGCAATCCACATCTCGCGCCAATATCATACACGCACGCACTCTCGACGAGCTACACAACATCGGAGTCTCCGAACTGATCATCAAGCATGGGCTACAGCTCCCTGGTTTTGACATTCGCAATGCTGAACAACTTTTGTTGGGCCTAGACTTCCGCGACCTTGACTCCCAACATCCGATGATCGTTTCGATGCCTCAAACAGCTCTCGAAGACATCCTGCGTACCAAGTTCGAATCTCTCGGCGGCTACATACACCTTGATTGCCAATATCTCGGGTGCTCACAAAGCGGCAACTCCGTCAATGTCACCGTACAACATCGTGGAGAGCGCGTCACAATTGCCGCAACCTACCTCGTCGGTGCAGACGGCCACCACTCCACAGTCCGCACCTCTCTCTCGATCCCCTTCGACGGTGATGTGTATCCTTATTCGTTCATCGTGGCCGAAGTCACAGTCGTCGAATGGCCGTTCGGGCTTAATGCCGCTCAGATATATACTTCCCTTGACGGTCTCCTCATTTGCATGCCAGAGCCCGGCAAGCACCGCTTCCGTCTCATCGCCAACGTGCGTGATGCACCACAATTGCCGTCCTTGGAGCTGTGGCGATGTATCATCGCGAGGCGCGCTCCTGGCCATGCATGCTTTGAAATCGCGAATATGCATTGTAGCAATCGGTTTCGCATCCACCATCGCATCGCTAGGCGATACAGAGCTGGTCGCATATTCTTGGCCGGTGATGCGGCGCATGTACAAAGCCCGGCGACGGGTCAGGGGATGAATTTAGGCATTCAGGATGCAACCATACTGGCGCGAATCATCGGCGATGCAATATACCATGGGCGCAATTCGGAGCATGATCTGGATGAGTACCAAAGAATCTGTCAGCCAAGAGCGCAGAAGGTTTTTGGTCTGACGCATCGTATCACGTTGGGGATGACGTTGACAAATCCTGTGCTATGTTGGGTGCGTAATATGGTCATGATGGCCACCAATTCGCTGCCCATGGTCCGGAGGAAGATCACGAGAGTGATCTCGCAGCTAGATCTCTAGAGCGAGTCTGAAATACACATACGATGATACCTTAGCACTTAATACAACTGGTCTCATGGAAACAAAGGGACCAATGCATGTATCAATATTATGCAAAGGTCTAAGACCGAAATTTCTTAGCTTTCACGAGGGTGATAGGCCTTGCGTCGTTATATCATCTGAAGATACACGTACAGCTTTCTGAGCTGCCTACCCAGAAATCGTCGAGTTATCAACTGACATCTGTGTTCGAATCACCTGGCATGCCCTCCACGCTGCCAGTGTCTCTGTTTCCGACCTTAACACTCCTTCGACAGCATCACCTATATAATTGTCGCCCACTCTGACGCGGCATACATAGCCGGGTGCAGGACGCGAGGTAGTAGAGCCCTCTGAACTGTGGCCAGGTTTCGCCTTTGCACCGGCCGATTTCTTGACATGTTCGTACAAAACTTTGTCGTTCACCGCGAGCTGCCCTAGCCGTTCCTTCGGATGCAGGCAGTCCAACTGCCCGGCGACCATCCGCTGCATGGCCTTGAACAGCCCCAGCTTCTCAAGAAACTTCTCGCAAGCCTCAAATGAGCCATGCGAATCAATGTAGATGGCACCTATGGCGCTCTCAACGATATCAGAAAAAACCTTCTCGGCCCTGGCTTGTTCCAATTCCGCCCAAGGATATTCATGCCCGTTGTATAGTGCCTCGAGAATTGCTGCGCGAAGGCCCATATGACGCGCATGGGTTGCATGCCGAGCGTGCAGTAACTCTGGCGAGTTGTGACGCAAGAACTGATATAACGACCTGGTGAAGTCCTGGATTCCAGGCTCGGCGACGGAGTCCCACTTCCGTTTTGCCGTCGTTGGAAGCTCGTAGCGCACTTCGGAGATCTTAAGCTCAAACATAAGAAAGGCGAGGAGGTATCCGTTGACAAGTGCGGTGCGGAACGTATGCATTAGACCGTGCGACAGCGGTGGATTGTGTGCGTACAATCTTGTCGAGATAATGTAGTCGATCACGGCATCGCCGAGGAACTCGAGTCTTTGGTAGGAGGATATTCGCTCATGGTGTGGTGGTGAGTACGATGGGTGAGTCAGGGCTTCAGTAAGAATAGATACGCGATCAAAGGTGTGGCCTAACAGTTCTTCGACCGGTTTGAAATGCGAGGGCGGAATACCAGATATTTCTGGGGCCGCTGAGAAGAGAATCTTGTTGGCATCATGTATCGAAAGCCATGGTTCCCGGGGAAGTAGAATCTGCATGCATGTCAATGCATCAGATATCCGACCTCTAGACAAATATGATGCGCCTATCAAGGACTCAACAACATCGGCCAAGGTTTTAGTAGAAATATTGTCTTTCTGTTTGGCTTCTTGTTTTTCATATTGTCGAGCGTGCACATCAGATAAGTATTGCGGTTGCCACTTGGCGCCGGTAAATCCTGTTCGGATGATGTATTGATCGAGACCAGCATCCAGAGATGCTTTGGCAAGGTATCCATTTGAGACGGTGCGTCCTTTCTCGGCTGTGAGATAGCTCTCTGGCCAGGTAAGATTTCTTGCCATTAGGCGGATCGAAGAGGCGAACTTGAGTAAGGCATCACCGAGGTATTCCATGCGCTGATAGTTTACATGCTCTCTAGCCGACGTGGCACACAAAGCTGTCAAAACGAGATGCACATCAGTGAAACCAACAGGAGCAAATATGCCAGCGGAAAGATTTTGGGCCACCATGTAAACTTCTAGACGATGCAAGACGCAAGGCGCAAAGGTCACAGCAGTGACAAGATCTGCTGGCAACATTTCGATGACACTGTCCGCCAGTTCAAGTTCCAATACAGCTGTATACGCTGGATTTTGCTTTTCCCGGGCGTCCACTTGGTGAAGGAAGTCTTTTCTCTTTGGAAACTTACTCACCTTCAAAACATATTCCTTGGAGCCTTGTGATTGTTCATCTACTCTTTCATTTATTTTTTGAAGCATAAATCGTTCACTGGCTCCATGACGCCGCACCAGTCCAAGACGACTTGAATGGCCATCCATGGTTGGATACTTCTCGAGGATCGTTGCTGGTCGAGCCCCAGATGTGGTCGCTACAAAGTCGTCGACGGCAGAAGTACTAAGCTCTATGTTGGGTAATAGAAGCACGACAAAGTCGAACTTGTTGGAAACTAAGCGGTGTGAACCCAGACTTGATGACAAGAGATGGTAGGTGACTTTTTGGAGCGATGCAACCAGATCGTCTTCTATATGCATGGGTTGGTCCCTCTGGAGCTCATAGGAGACCTCATATACGAGCGACTTGTTCCAATATAGATTGTATGGTGGAATTGTAGGTAAAGGCATTGTCGTCATCACGTCAAACTCACAACTGTGGTTAGTACTAGAGAACCGGATGCGATACGCGTAGCGCTGGTTTCCTATAGCTGTCGCGTGAAGGGCCCAAGGATCTATCCTTGGATTGACTGGTACCATGGCTGGGCGGTCATCTATCATATCGCATTGAGGTGCTCCATTAACCTCACCGTGCAAAGGCAACAAATTGCTGCCAATCAATCCGGCTTCATGCAAGGCCTTGTAGGCTTGAAAGGCAGCATCCTTTCTCGCGTCTTTCTCATTTTTCCACTTCGAAATACCCTTGTGACGTCGGAGAGAGGCGTCCACAGCCAGCGGAAGGGTAACCTCTGCCGAAAAACAGCCTTCGTCATCTGTATCGAGTTTAAATTCAGGTCGGTGGTCCGTATGTGGACCTGTCCTGAGGGTGGCGCAAAAGTGAAAAAGATGAGGCAATGCGCCATCGGAAGTAAGTAAGGCTCTATAGACAGCTAGTAAGCAGAGCATTGCGAATGAGAACAGATAAGGGGCTGTACTACTTACTGCGTCGAGTCGACATACAGGCTGTAGTCATCAGCCTCGTCGATTAACTCTGTACTGTTCATAGGCTTGATCTGACGCGACTCATCGGCATACTCCTCTTTCAGGATCTGCTCCAGTGTGGACCATTCTGTCACCGAAGACGACTCTAATGCGTTTTGAGGTATCATGATCATGAAATTCGAGGCCATTTTTCTGGCCCTGCCTCTGCGCTGCACATACATCTTCAGGTTTGTTAGCGCATCGAAACATATCACGACGTTACAATTTGGGACATCAATGCCTTCCTCAAGGACACTGGTGGTCACTATGAGGTTTTTACGACCCTCTCGAAAGTCCTTCAAGGTTTGGTCTTGACCTTTGATATCAACCAGTTCTGCAACGTCCTTGGATCGACTCGAAGATGAAGAAGTACCCACGAATGCCCCAACCTGGAAAGACTGTTTCAGGTCGGGATCATTTCGGATCACATCTTCAAGAGCATTCACCACAGCTCGTCTTTCGGCGAAGATAAGACCCCTGAAGTCCTTATGGTATGCTTTCTTGAGATAGCTTATCAGGGCAGTAGCCTTAGCAGATATACCCTCTGCAGGAGGCCCAGAAGATACTGGTGCTACAATTTTACGAAGCAATGCCATCAAATGAGTCTTTTCTCGCCCGGACCAGCCGAGCATCTGTGACTCCTCGTTCATTTCAGCCGCGTCTTTGAGCCGGTCTACACATCGCACGATGTAACGTTCAGCTGCAAATGCGCCAAGCTGCTCACACACGCTATAGGCCCTAGACTGAATGGACTTCAGCTGTTCCAGGCAATATGTGGATTCCTTCGCGAACGCCTTACTAAGTTTGCATTCGGCGGTCGGATCGTAGCGCATCCTTTCATACAAGTCCTGGATATACGGATCACTCGCGAGATCATAACCATGATATGCTTCCTGTAGTGCTGTCATAATGGCACTACCTCTGACATTTCGCACTGGGAGGTCGACCTGAAAGAATACTGGTTCCAAATTAGGTCGATGCACGTGCTGCAAGAATTCAGTCTGATGGATCTTAGGAATGGTGACGTGAGAATCCAAGTTCTGCTCGATTGTTCTGAGAATGTCAGAGAGCGGCAGATATTATATCTGGTGTACGTACTGCAAAGCTTTTGGGTTGCTGTTGATCACTGGGCTTGCAGTGAGACCGAGAATTGGCGGTACTAATGATGGGTCCTTTCGTCGCATTCTGTGATAGAAATCTTTCATAATCCTGTTCATTGGATGGTTCTTAGTACAATGATGGGCTGGGTGGCGTTAAAAATACAGCATTACTATATTGATCAGACATACCCTCGTCAAAAATTAGCAAAGCCAGTCTGGTCATTGGAACAAAACCATGGGTCAGAGCTTGAGCGAGTACATCCGGAGTCGAAACGACTACTCTCATATTGTAAAGCACTGCATCCCACGTTCGCTGGTCGGTCCACGTATCGACATTCTCCATGCTTGTGAGTTTTCGAGCCTGGTACGCCGGCAGTAGTGTCTGAAATACTTGATACTGTTGATTGCACAGAGCCACAGTCGGAGCTATAAACCAGACGATCTGAATGGCAATTAACCTTGAATTGAACACGTGACCAGCACCAGGCAGTGACAGACATACTTTATACGGGTCGCAAGTCTCCAACTCTGTTCGAGCTCTACTAATGGCTATGTGGGTCTTGCCGCTACCAGTATCCATCTATAAATGAACATTAGCCGCAGAAAGGCATAGAATGGGAAAGCCGTTTCAGACTTGCCGCCACTATTATGTTTTTCTTAAGGCTCTTCTCCAACATTTCAGTCTGGTAGGACCGAAGCCGAAACATTTCGTTCTCCTGAGCGATACTGATCGGTGCCTCCATTTTTTCAACCCAGTAGCGGTCGCCTACCGTGGAGTAGAAGAACGGATGAGAGATATTTGCCAATGTATGAGAAGCTCTGAATCTTGCACAAACGAAGCGGCTCCCACGCATCTACGTATTCTTATGATTGAGATCATACAAGTCTTATGGCACGGTTCGTTAAGATCGAGATGACTTTCGTTGGGCAAAATAGCTTAATTAGGCATGATGTCCATGGGTGGAAGAGGTAATTATACCCATGCGTCAACGTAGTCGTGGATGACTAAACAAGTAATACCTGGCAGCCTGTACTAGGTTGGTAGCGGGGTGCTCCATGGATGTCGTGTCGCGATACAGCCTTTACCGTACTCTCTGCCTCCACATTTATACTCACTCTTAGACTCTATATACTCATACTACCTATGACGGCACGCTCTTTATACCATGGCTTTCAAACCGGCCCTGATCAATATGGTGAAGCTCCAGAAAATTCCCACAGCCCATACTAGACTTCTCAAAAGACTCAGCCGTTTCCTCTCCGTGTTGATATAAAGCACATTATAAAGTACCCTCCCTATCACAGTAGCGACGGCGAATATATCGAGCTCTTTCTTGTCAAGACCTGCCAGCATTCCTCCCATGGCCGCGGCGACGTAAAGAGAAAACCCTTCGTAGCCATTATGGTGCGCGGCCTTTGCGCGCTCGTATTTTGCATAATCAGCGGGTTTCAGACTCTTCTTGAAGACCTCGGCATTATGAAAGCGAGGGTTGGTGTTGTCGAGCTTCTTGCGGTCGACCCGTGTGGAAGCGAAGAAGCTACCGTAGACATGGGCGGATAGAGTGACAAAGTAATAGGCTGGGATGGAGAATAGCGCGAGAGGAGATAGGGTTAGCGTTGGAAGAGCAATTGAAGCCATTGTGTCGTGTAGGAGAGCGAACTGTTTGACGCTGACGAGAAGAATGGTAAAGTTGGCGGATGATTTGGCTTGCAAGGTCAATCGCGGCGGTGGTGCACAGCCCTTTCTTTAATATATCCTCCGAACGGACAAATGGAAAAAGTTAATGGGTCAATGCTTAGACAAAGGTAAATAACAACAGTGGATGTCACGGAAGAAGCAAAGTCCGTAAATAAAGCTGGCTATGCTATGAATAAGACAGTTAAGCTAGCCTGAGCGCGAGTTTCAGCCGGGTCGCCTTTTCTTTCTGTCCTGTCTCTGTCTCTATGTTCTGCAACTTGTCCGGACCGCATTGTTTCGTCCGAGTAGCACCCTTAGCTGACTCGTCTCCCTCTTCTGGCCTCGTTGACACTTGACCGACACATCTTTGATGAATGTTGTACTCGCGTGTCTGTAACGAGGTCCACGTGTGAAAGCGGGTGGCCCGATCCCGAGCCAGAGCGGCATCCATGGACCCTGACTGTCTTCTGCAGCCTGATACCTGCCTGATATAGTCGTCCATTCCGTCGTTACTAGCCACGCACACCGCCACTGCATATACAGCTGTACGTCACCATATCTGTATAGGAGCTATGCCTCATCCGAACACTTCCTAGGTTCCAGGTTCCAGGTTCCAGGTTTCAGGTTCCACTCGTCACTTACACACATTATACTGTATACACAAGGTGATTAAATCTAGACGAATATGACAGATAAGCTGAGATCCCTTTTCAATAAGGGTGTTGATCGAGGCAAACGATATGCGGAGCAACAGATCAACGCTGTGTCTCCTATGGACGTAGTATACACTATTACCAAGGATGCTGCAGCCGACCCATTCGTCATGCATACACACGGCAAGTGGCATTTGGTAAGCGACACCTTCATTCTCACGCCGTTATGACCATTGTGTACACAGTTCTTGGTGTCGATGTGCTCTGACTTTTCTAGATGTTCACGACCGGTGGAAGCGTCGAGATTTGGACTTCGCACGATCTACTCGACTTTTACAACTACGAAAAGCACGTTTTATGGTGAGTAAGATCATCATTACAGGCTCCATACATCATGATCTTCCGCTTCACTCAAGTAACATCGGCAGATATAAACTAATTATGACAGGGTCCCGCCCCCTGACCAGCCCTTTTCCGCCGACATATGGGCACCAGAATTCCACGCAATCTACGGCCGCTGGTACGCGTACTTCGCCGCTGGCGATCCAAAGCATGGCAACAAATCCCACCGGATGTGGGTGCTGGAAGGGCCTCCCTCGACAGAACCGCCCACTTCAGGCAAGTGGCAGATGGCCGGCCCGATTAAAGGCATGGACAGTCGCCAATGGGCTATCGACGGTACAGTCATCACCCTAGACAATGCTCTGTACTTTGTATATAGTGGCTGGCCCGTTGACCGCCCTGGATGCGAGAATCAGCAGGAGCTCTGGATCATAAGACTCGACATGCCCACGCAAGCTTCGAGCGCGCCAGTGAGAATATGCCAGCCGCACAAAAACTGGGAGTGTTCAGGCTCGTCAGGCATCAATGAAGGGCCGCAGTGGTTGGAGTCGCCAGATGGTAACTGGAAGGCAATTGTGTACTCGTGTGCAGGGAGTTGGACAAAGGAGTATAAGATGAATGTGCTGCAGTACATGGGTGGAGATCCCCTTGATCCTAGAAGTTGGAGGAAGGGACGGCCGCTCCTGCAGAATAGTAGGGACGGAAAAGGTCCATTTGGGCCCGGACATGGCACGTTTGTGAACTACAGAGGTGAGACGGTTGCTGTGTTCCATGCAACGGACAATGCGAGCGATGGCTGGGCCAATCGCAAGGCGAGAGTTCAGAGAGTGAGATGGACGGCAAACGGTCCTGATATGGGCGGCGTCGTGGGAACTCTAGTTGATGAGAAAGAACGATGGTTGATTCCGCACCAAAGCTGATCTGATAAGTCACGTCTCCTACTATCAGTACATACCAGCTTCAAAAGGTCGATCCCAGCTTATATTGTGCCCCGTGGTCTTGAAACGCTCCAGATAATACACCCACTTCCTTTCTGTCCACTCCCTCAGCCCATCTCCTTGCCCCGCGTCAATCGTGACTGCGTTGACGCTCAGATACTTCACGCTATCTGACGCCTTCCATGCTTCCTTCAATTCACCCTTCGATCCTTGCTCCATGAGTTCCCCCATATTCACCTTCACAATCTGCCCGCCTTCTGGCTTCGTGATAGTGAAAGCTCTACATCCACAACGCTGGCAGAAATACCACGACGCATACATGCCTCCACATTGATATACCCCCAGGCCTTCAGCGTTACCATGCTTGTCTATGAGCGGTGATAGAAGACGAAAGTCGTCGGTCATGCTGACAGGCCGGCAATGCATATAGCCCATCTTGTGGCATGTCGTGCAGTTACATCTGTAGATCTTTGAGAACATCGCGGGATCTAAATCCGCACCAGATACGTTCGGGTCTGCAGGTAGTGTGACGTGCAGGACGTATTTAATGAAGCCGCAGTGGCAAGACCCGGTATATGGTTTTCGAGTTACGTCGTGGGCTCCAGGCGACGCCATGTTTATCCCCATTGATTATCTCTGTTCTCGCCAACTCGTTGTGTGCATACTATGATAAGTTTGCTCCACGAGTTCCTCTTCACTGTTTGTCTTGTTTCAGTTCATGTGATGACTTCGAAAGATCAATAGTGATTGGTCGCAAATGCACAGGGATGTTCCACGCTGGTAGACCGTGTCGAATTCTTAGTGACGAAGGCGTATATGGAGGAAATTTTGAATCTTGATGTTAAACATGAGTTACCTCTTCATCCTTCATCTTACCTAGTGTACGCTTATGTGCTGAATGAGTCATTACAATGCCATGCCGCGGGCGACAGTTGGAGGGGCTTGCGGGGCCATCCATGGCGCCAGCTTCGCGTACTTCAAACAACAGCCATCATTCATGGGTTGCCTAATTATCTGTCAGGATCATCATGCCTTTGTTCCATCTGTTTTCTGGGCGACCTGTCCACATGAAGATTTACCGAGCATTCCAAGAAATTTTCAACGCGTCATCCAAGGCCAACACAAACGTCAGCTTGTGCCGCTTATGGCGCTACACACCGCTTGTCGTAACTATTGGGTCACATCCATCTACAGTACTATTCCTTTACAAGGTTGCTTGTTATCGTCCAGCCGTTCAAAGAGCCGAGGAGAAATTAGAAAGCAACGGTGAATAGGTCTTGAATCGCTTATAGTTCTTGGTCTCAACGTTTAAATTTCTAGTGATAGTGTAGTAGCCTTTATGAACACACAGTTATGCATTAATGAGATATGCACCCATGTTGAAAACTGGCGGTGTATCTGACGCGCTTTCATAGAGCAAGAAATCATTTTTTTCTAAGCAAATCTCGGAACTCGTCCGCGACGCATTTCACCCCGACCCTCGGACGCCATGGCTCACTTGCGTCTGTCCCAAGCACACTTTCGAAGGTCCTTGCTGCTATGGGCGTCAGTGACCCACTGCGTCTTATTGAATTCATCTTGGCCTGAATCTCTGCCAAAGTCAGCATACAGATTTGTACCAGCATGTGACTACGCATATCAGAGCTCAGTGCTTGCAGGCCCTCGAGTTGTAGCGCTGGCAGTATGGTTGCTTCTTTTAGCTGAAAGTCGTGATCAACAAGAGACTTGTACAGTTTCTCGTACATGATGTGCATACTCGTGTGGCAGGATAGAATTTGCAATGCAATTTCTATGTCGATTTGTTTACTTCGTATTGGCAGTTCGCCTGTTGCATCCTTAGGAGTGACCGTGATATCGATAGCTTGCTCATGCGGGACGATTCTGTTCAGTAACTCGACAAATTTCTTGGAATGTCCCAAAGTCGTGGCCATACAATCGTGAATCCGAGACGTGTTGTTATCGTACTGTAAACTTGAAGAGATTTTGTGATTGAACTCTAGTAGTACTCTTGTTACGCTTTGGTTTGACAGCTCAGATTCAGATCTCAGGTCAACCAGTCTGTTGCACTGGGGTATTCCACAGTCATTCTCTGTTGCTGAGACGGTCTCATTTGTGTTCACCATTGGCACCGCGGTTTCCGGATTGTCTCCATTTGTTAAGCCTTCCTTACTCTCATGAGAAACCACTTTGCTAAGGAATGCTAGATTATCAGGAATCGGGTTTTCTTCTAGGCCGAAATCGTGCCCGAACTCGAGCCATTGTAGATCCGTACGGGATGGTGGTAAAATGTTTTGATCAGAATTTGTCCCACTTGATTGAGTATACGGTGTGCTCTCAGCTATAGATCGTGCAAGGAATCCATCTAGGAAAAAGTCTTGCTGTTGCTCTCCAAAAGCTCCAGTATACTCATTCCGATGATCGGTGTCTATTGACTCAAAAGAAGGTGTTCGAGGACGTTTGTAGCGTTGTGTTCGCTCATCTGGCATCATTCCTGGAAGTAATTGCGACTCGACAGTGGTGATACAGTTCGTTTGAGCTTGTATACACCGGCGGCATTGTTGCAGCTGTGTCTTGTCACCGTATTGCGGTCGCTCGCAGCGTGTCTTCATCCTTCGACACCTATCACATGCTGATCGCCGGCCAAATTCTTCTGAACGAAGGTCATTGTGCGTGGTTGTATATTGGTTTGAGCATTGCATCGCCGAGGATCACGGTCTATAGTCTCGTCTCCTTAGGCTCGAGCTTCGTAGAAAGTGGTACTAGCTAGATCATAAAAGCGGGTGCACTAACATAACCATATCAGTACTCCTCAGCTGAGGGATTACTAACGCTAGGAGTGTTGGGAAATTCTAATTACTGTGTGTAAGCGGGGACCTGCATAGCGCGAAAGAACCACTGCATGACGCCAAATAGTTACTGCATAAAGCCATAGTTTAGTTCATAGCTGGACTCAAAGCAACTAGGCGACTGCCTGACAAGGGGGTTATGTATCCTGTGTCCGTACTGTCCTGTCGGAGCCATACTAACATGTAGCCAATTCTGTTAATCCTGAGCGATTCAATCACACATATGGCTCTACTGCGTGCTTAGAGTGGAACACATTCCACGAGATGCAAATGATTGTTTAGTCCGCGGTAAATACTATGTACTAGAGTGTTTCATGGCTCACTGCACTCCGATGAACTTATTTTATGTGGATACTGGAAGATAGATGGATATCCAATGTTTACGGACATGAAAGCTTCATGGTCAAGATAGAACGGATGCTGCCCATTGCAACACGTTCTGAAGCTGGCCTTTGGACGGAGGACTTGTACAACGTCTTCAATTTGAAGCACTAATAATGCGGCTAGCTCCCGGAGTAACCTCCTGATACGTGGACCAATGTCTCACTACAAGCGGTTAGTTACATCTCGTCTGCAGTCTTCCTGCACACGGAGGTCCTCGTACAGATCCATAGAGTGCGGTACTCTCATGTACTGTTGGAATTATCGCGCACGTTAAGAATTGAACGTTAGGTTGTCCTCTACTCTCCTAGAAGCTTGCTGAATACACTAATATACGTTGACCTAGGTAGCCAATGAGGACCAACAGATATGACTGGAGCGAGGTAGGATTGCAACAGTATTGATAGTGTCAATAAATTAAACAAAATAAGTATAACAAGAGTATCAACTCCAATGTGAGCGGTATTCGAGATTGCGGGCCATGAGCAATTACAGATCAGCAAAACATTATGCTGCATTATGAATGGCTTAATTAACGCTCTATTAGATACTCCCAGCTCCTAACGACTTAATGCTCAGATGGCTATGAATATGAGGCAAATACTGGAGTCCTGAGAGCCCTGAGGGAGCAAGAAATGCTATTTTCTGAGTGTACTTCGAATTCACCATGTCCACAGGCTGAAAAATGACAAGGAAGAAATACTCAGTGTGCCAAGTGACCACGATAACCAAGGCGGTCTAAGCCATACAGTTTGATCTTATGCGACATCTTTGAAGATTTGGACGTCCATGTCTATGAACCTTTTTTATATCTATATATAACAATGTCTGTCATGATCAATAGGCACAGAAATGCTTCCGAGAACTTCTGATTTGCTTTGCGTATCTCGATGCAGATTCTTCAGTAACCATTGGCACCGGAAAATCGTTCACTCCTAGAATCGGCTCGATCACTGGATGACCGGAAACCATAGCCGAGGCCCCCTTATCATCAGTGACATCTTCAAGCAAAGGAACGATCCGAGCTATGAGACTTGACGTGTTTGAGGCAGCTTCTCGCAAGGCATGGCTCCGCCATGTCGAAAATGGAACAATCTCGATCCCAGGGCTATTGCCGATAATGAAAGTGAAGAACTGGTTAAAACTGAGAGCACTGCCATTCGTGAAATTGAAGTCTTGCCCAATCCGATGTGTATCTCTCATCATGATGCTGGCGACAGTTCTGGAGACATAGTCGACTGGTATGATAGACGACAAGTCAGCGTCAATTTCGGGGAACATGCTCATCTCCAAACATCCAGAAATGAGGTTGTGTAAAAAGTCCTTCTGGTCAAGACGGAAATGTCCGGTTGCAGTCGATGCAGAAACGAAAGGTAGGCGGTAGATGGATACTTTTGCACCTCGCCAACGCCCAGCTACCATAAGTCTCTCCGCGGTATATTTGGAAGTTGCATATCCGAACTCTGGATCGTCCTCTCTAATATCGTAGCCTAGATACTTCGGTATTGTAGACATCGTGGAGATCATGTGCACAGCCTTCCCGCGCCCGTGTGCTGCCAGCCGTAGAACCTCATGGGCACTGACAATGTTGGGGCCGAAATACTCTCCTATGTCAGCCATCCAATTGCAATATGCTGAAGAGTGACATATCGAATCAACACTATCTGCTAACTCGGCAAACTTGTCTTCAGTGAGCCCAAAAAGAGGTAATGCCATGTCGCCAATGATAGGATGGAGTAACGAGCTGTGTTTGTCGTTCCACAAACTATAATTTGACAGAGTGCTGAGCAAACGTTGTAGTCCCTGAGCCTCATCATCAGCGCGGACCAGGCAATGGACCTCCACACCAAGCTCCAGCAACTCGTGGAGTATGAACGCGCCCACGAAGCCAGTGGCCCCCGTCAAAAATACCGTTTCCGGGGGTGTAGAGACTTTGCTGCCAAACGTGAAAGTAGCATCAAGGCAGCCTCGTTTCATTGGCTCCACGTCGAGCCATAGCTGTGACGAGGATGGGGTCGTATTCGGTGTAGAATTGTCCAGCGAAGATGCAGAGGAATTTTCTTCTTCTAGCTCGGAAAGCAGAAAATTGCTGAGCGCTCTTAAATTAGGGTGCTGGAATACAAACCTGGCAGGTAAACTCAAGCCCGTTAGCTTTGCCAGTCGGTTGCGAATAAGAACTGCGGTGAGCGAATCAATTCCAATGTCTTGCAGAGTGGCTTCCATATCAACCTGGGATGGTAGAGTGAAGCCCAGTGCACTCGCAACAGTCTCTTGTACTATGCTCAGTGTAATGTGAGGTCGCTCCTGGCGAGCGGCCTGGGCTATAGTTTGACTGAAGGTCCGGCTTTGGTCAACAGTCTTCTTCTCTCCCTGTTGCAATAATGAGCGTAGTAGCCCCGGTATGTTACCTCGGTCTTCGTGATAGCTCTGTAGTCGATCCAGGTCTAACGCGGCAGCAACAGTCAGCGTACGCCGCTTCGATATCGCCTGGGCCAGCAGTTCCAATCCATCTTCGGGTGCAAGCATATTGAGTCCAGATTGGATAAGACGCACACGTGTCGAGTCGATGATTTTGGATGCCATACCGTCCCCTGTCCATGGACCGAAGGCGATAGAACTTGCTGGTTGGCCCTTTCCACGACGAAGATGTGCGAGTGCATCAAGGAACGTGTTAGCCGCCGCGTAATTTGCGTGGCCCTCCATACCCATGATCCCAGATATAGATGAAAACATTACAAAGAAATCTAAATGCATAGCCTGAGTAAGCTCATGAAGATACCAAGCCCCCGAAACCTTGGGTGCAAATGTCGTGGTACATCGCTGTGGTGTCAGCGCTGTGAAGACGCCGTTGTCTTGTGCGCCAGCTGCGTGGATAACACCACGTAGAGGGCAGTCAGCGTCATTAAAGCTGGCCAGAAGTAGCTTCACACTTTCTGGATCGCCCATTTCGCATGCTACTACGGCGACTTGCGCGCCAAGTCCAGTCAATTCCTCAATTGTTGCGCATGCATTATTGGCTTCCATCCCACGACGCGAGGTCAAGATGAGATGTCGAATGTGATGTACCTGCACCAGATACCGGGCGACGTGACGACCGAGAACACCGAGACCACCTGTGATTAGCACTGCTCCATCTTGAAGCGTAATTTCATGATCTGGCTGTAGATTTATTGAGCTCTTGTCGATCCGCTGCAGTCGGGGGACGAGAATCCTTCCCTGTCGCATGGCACATTCTGGCTCTGCATTACAATTGAGCATACTGTTCAGCGTAGACCCAATCGAATTTGTAAAATCGTGGGGATTTACGTCGAGATCGATTAGACGCATACGCAGCTCGGGATGCTCATTTCGAGCAGTGCGCATGAGTCCCCATAGTGGGCTCGCCGCAAGTCCCGAGACTCCATCATCCTCAGCACCAGCTCCTATTGCGTTCTGTGTGACCCAGACTATCCATGGCTGAAACTGCAGGCGGACTGCATCCTGTAGCTGTAGCAGTCCAGCCGAGGTCAACTTCTGAACATGGTCGGGGACCTGAGCTTTAGGCAAGTTTGTTCCGGAATTCCAAAAACACAATAATCCATCAATCTGTAGAGTTTGAGCCTCGCAAATGTTCGCCACTGGTAGTAGTTGTATACCCATCAGTGATAACGCTAGCTTCAGGGGCATTATAGGTTGTTCACCGTCCATGCAAGGGCCACATAATAACCCCCATGAGCAGCCTTTGCCTCCTAGTCCAATTTGAGGAGTTATCGGCTCCTGATTTCGTTGTTGCCATGAAACTTCAAAGGCAAAGCGGTCTGTAACCATTGTATCATGTTTAGTACGTTGCTGTTGCCTTCGGTCGTTTGCGTTGTTGTCCTGCTTGGAGAATTCCCTCCCCTGATTCCGCAAAGGAATGAAGTAGTCTCGCTGAAATGCATATGTTGGCAACTCCACGGGTTGAAAGCGACCAAACGATCCAAAATACTCATGCCAATATATAGAAACTCTTCGCACATGTAGTTGTGTAACTGTATGCTGTATCACTGACCTGCCACTCTTTGCTAGCGATGGTAGCCAGGCAAGAGAATCGTCGGAGGAAAGACAAGCTGCTCCCATCCCGGTCAGAGTTGATTGCGGTCCCATTTCAATGAAGATATTGGCGCCCTCCTGACTCAGTGTTTGCATTCCTTCAACAAAACAAACAGCTCTACGCGCCTGCGCTACCCAATAGCTGGGGCTTTCGAGTTGGCCTGGCTGAGCTAGCTTGCCTGTCAGTGTGCTCACGATTGGTATCGTGGGTGAAGAGAACCGCATAGTATCGAGAACCGCTTGATAGTCTCCCAGTATGCTATCAATGTGGTGCGAGTGGAAGGCGTGTGAGACCGGAAGTAGCTTTATCTTCACAGTGCGGTCGTACGTACTGAGGTAGGTAATTAAGGTTTTGATGGCGTCCGAATCCCCGGAAGCCACAGTCTGCGTGGGAGTATTATGGCCTGCGATGCTCACCAAGCCATCCACACCCGCCTCAACGATTGCTGTTGATACCTCTGTAACACTAGCCTCAAGAGAGACCATACTGCCTCGAGTAGGAACAGCCTGCATCAGTCGTCCTCTCGCAGCAACGAGACGACAGGCATCCGCTAGATTCCAGACGCCAGCACAGTAAGCAGCCGAAAGCTCGCCGACACTGTGACCAATAGCCAGCTTTGTCTGTACTCCCCAGCTCTTCCAAAGCTCCCATAGAGCTACTTCTAGCGCGAAAAGGGCTGGCTGTGCGAAGCTAGTACGATCTATGAGTAGAGAGTCATCGCTACCTGGGACGGCCTCCATGACTTCTCTTAGCGATTTACCTTCGTCTAATGAGGTGAAATGTGATAAGACTTGGTCCATGGCATTTCGATATACAGGATATACTTGGTAAAGGTTCCTACCCATGCCCAGATACTGGCTTCCCTGCCCTGCGAAGAGCATTGCTACGCACGGCCTTTGACTGGTAGTTGTGGAAACAGCTGAATTTGAGACAGAACGAAGTTCTTTGATTAGTGTGGGTTTGTCCTTCGCCAGAATGGCAATTCGCCGCTGAAAATGAGTCCGAGTGGTAGCCAGTGAATAGCTGAGGCGAGCACTATCAAAGTCGCTGGTGCTCTCAAGGTGGCGTGCAAGTTTTGCGGCCTGTTCAATGAGTGTATTTTCTGAATGGGCAGATAATAGGAATGGAAAGTCGGTTGCTGATACCACGTCCGACTGTGGTTCTCTTGTCGAAGGACATTCCTCTACGATCACGTGTGCATTGGTTCCACCGATGCCGAACGCACTTACGCCAGCCCGTCGAGGTCGGCCAGTCTGTTCGGGCCACGACTTAGGTTGCTGGATTAACTCCATATTCGCACTCTGCCAATCTATCTCTAAAGAGGGCTCTGTAGCATGTAAAGTTCGCGGAATTCTGCCATTTTTCAATGCCAAAACAACTTTGAGCAGTCCGGCTAGACCCGCTGCTGCTTGAGTATGGCCTATTTGGCTTTTGACACTAGTTCTGTTAGTTATGGAAGTCGAGGTCTGTACGACATCTCTACTCACGATCCGATGTATAGGGGGAGGCTTTTCGACTGTACGCCAAGCCCCTCTGGCTGTCTGCGTCCGCCAAACACCGCTGCGAGCGACCCCCCCTCAATAGGATCTCCAAGTTTCGTACCTGTGCCATGGGTCTCGATATAGTCGATATCATCAGTGGCCAGTTGTGAGGAAGCCAACGCGGTACGGATCAAGGACTGTTGGGCAGACCCACTCGGCACGGTCAATCCGGCAGCACTTCGGCCCGCGTGGTTCACTGCAGACCCCTTAATGAGCGCATGTACGGTCTCGCCAGGTTTAACGTCGCGCAATCTCTTCAACACGACACAGGTGCAACCTTCAGCCCACCCTGTCCCGCCAGAGTCTTTCGCAAATGCCCTGCACCGCCCATCTCTTGATATTCCCTGAAGTCTACTGAACTCAATGTGCATACCAGGGTTTAGGAGGAGTGTAATTCCGCCAGACAATGCAACATCGCATTCACCAGCACGAAGTGCGTTGCAAGCCAAATGCGTTGTGACCAGAGAACTGGCACAGGCGGTGTCGATTGTCATACTTGGACCTTCAAGCCCAAGACTGTACGAGATTCGTCCGGACATGGTTCCAGATGAGGTACCCGTCACGTTGTAGCCGTCCAGTCTCTCTCCAGGCGGCGCAGTCGTATGTGCAGAGATATTGCATGTACCTATATAGACCCCTGTTTGGCTTCCGCGTAGGCTTTCAATCGTATAACCAGCCCGCTCAAAGCTTTCCCAGCTGGTTTCAAGCATTATGCGCTGTGCTGGGTCCATCATTGTTGCCTCTCTCGGCGATATGCCAAAGAACGACGCATCGAAATGGTCGACCGAGGATAGAAAGCCACCTCGGCGGCAGTAAGACTTCCCTTTGGCGTCAGGGTCCTCACTGTAAATTGCGTCGGCGTCCCATCGATCTCGCGGCACCTCCGAGATAACATCGGCACCAGACTCGAGAATGTCCCAATATTGCTGGGGAGTAGAAACATTTCCTGGGAGCCGGCATGACATTCCAACCACTGCAATTGCCTCTTCATCTCCATCTGGATGCCGCTGAGAGGGTTTTCTGGTGTGAATATTGTTTGTTCTACAGGGTTTCTCCAAGTCCTGGAGATTATTACTCTTCGTAGGCGAACTGTCTGCTGCGGTGGTTGTCTCTAGATATGTTGACAGAGCCTCAAGAGTAAAATGCTCAAACATCAAAGCCGAGGATATACGCCTCGCGAAATGTTTCTCCAACTCCTTCTGGACTTGTACTACGAGTACAGAGTTCCCACCAACTTCAAAGAAATTGTCTGATGGGCCGATCTGATCATGGCCCAAGACCTTCGACCAGATGAGCCTAACGCTTGACTCTACACTCGTTATCTCCCTGGTGAATACAGGCTGAAGTGCGTGCGCTGGATCTGGTAACGAGTTTCTGTCGACCTTATTATTGAGCGTCATTGGGAAGGCATCCAATACTACGAAGAATGCTGGCACTGAGTACACAGGGAGGCGCTCCGTCAACCATGATCGAAGCATGCTGTCGAGCTTTGAAGTTTGATTCCTTCCACTAGAATTTGCGATGTAGTAAGCGATGAGTCGCTCGTCTTTACTCACGACGACCACATCCGAGATCATCGGATGCTCACTCAGCGTAGCCTCAATATCACCCAGCTCAATTCGATGACCGCGAATTTTGACTTGGCCATCCGCACGGCCTACCACCGTGATTCTAAACTGGTCGTCATAACGAGCTAAATCGCCACTTCGGTACATCAGACCTTCATGGAAAGGGTTATGAATAAATTTCGTTCTCGTGAGCTCTGACTTGTTTCGATATCCTCTTGCCAGCCCGGCGCCTCCTATGTAAAGCTCACCATCTGTGCCAGCCGGGACTACGGCGAGCTCGGCATCGAGCACATATAGCTTGTAGTTTGATACTGGCCGGCCAATAACAACATCTTCGTCTGGTGACACTTTCCAGGCGCTCGCCCAAACTATAATTGTGAGCAAGACAAAACAAACGAAAGGCTAGAAAGGTCTCATACCAGTCGCTTCGGTTGGACCGTAAAGATTCCACACAACCTCCGCACATGGAAGCATTCGTCGTGCCAAGCGGGTACTCAGTTTTTCTCCACCGCAGAGGATCTTGCTGAGACGAGGGTCCCCCTTCCAGCCAAAGTCCAGAAGCATTTGCCAAGTTGCAGGTGTAGCTTGCATCATCGTAATACTGTGCCGTTGTATAAGGGCCATAATCGATTCAGGAAGTCTAGTCTCATGTGTCATAGCCAACACTGTTGTTCCACCACTCAGCAACGGAACAAATAGCTCCAGGGCAGCAATGTCAAACGAGATGGTCGTAATGGCAAGCAGTCGATCTGTGTCGTCACAGCCAGGCTCTTCTTTCATGCTAAGCAACAGATTCGAAAGAGCACCATGGCTAATCTCCACGCCTTTCGGTTTTCCAGTAGAACCAGAAGTGTAGATGACGTATGCCAAATCTTCCGCGCTCAGTCCTGCGTCGGCATCGAATGGCTTGTCATCAAGTTTCTCGTTGCTTTCTCTGATTTCATCGAGATCTAGGCGTGCGTAACCCCATGTCTGTGAGATGTCTCGTGTTGCGTCTCCGACAACGACGATCTTCGGTTCGGCATCCTCAAGGATATGGCGGATTCGTTCCGTAGGAAACGACGGATCGATAGGCAAATATGCAGCGCCAGACTTTAACACAGCAATCAACACTACTACCAAATCAAGTGAGCGGTCCAGTGCAATCCCAACCAAGTCACCGCGACCGATGCCTCGATTTCTTAGCACCGCAGCTAAAACGTTTGCGCTTCGATTGAGTTCTCCATAGGTCAATTCTCTCGATCCACATATGACGGCAGTATTTGTGAGATATGTTTCTGCAACATGCTCAAGGAGATGTGGTAGGCAGTGGCCGAGCTTCGTACTGTCATCGGTCAAGTTGTTGAAGTCATGATGGGCAGCAGATGTAAAGCTCATCTTTTCTTGATCGCCGCGACAACTGGTGTGCCTGGTAGGAGTGTACGGAAAACGTTCTGGGATTCAGACCTTTTTCGATAACCGGAATTCGTCATACTTTTGACTTGATTCGACGTCCGATTCCAAACATTGAATCGGACGCACGTTTGGCGGACTTGGTGGCACAGACCCGAGAGCCCTGAATGCTTTCTCAAACATGACCTGGGATGTTTTCACGTATGCTTGCATGCAACTTCACATGATACTACCACGTTTGTACCTGATCGTCAAGATTCACGTCCCCTTTTCTTGTTATCGCTCTAGACGGCCGGTGGCTTGCGTTCAGTACTCAACTGGACCTATCAGGGACTTGGTCATGAATCCTAGTTCGGATCAAGTCGCTGCTGATTATCTTCTTGTCAACAATGGTAATGACACTACATGATTTGCGTACACTGCCTCGCATAATTTTACTATGTTCATGAGGCCAACGTAGCACCATGTTCTGACGCCAAGATAATTAGGTTCTAAGCAAGTTACGGATCCCCCTTTACGGTAACCGGACATGATTCTCACTACTCTATACGACGGCTTCATAACCTACATGCGTACGGGTGTCTAAAACACAACATGCACCCCGATTTTTTGTGCATGCCCCGCTCCGATATCACTAGCAGGCCCCGCTCCGACCAGGTCCGGTCTTACTCAACACTGCGCAGCTTACTCACCTCCTGCTCTGGATGGAAGGAATTCGTCCAAAGAGCAGCTACATGTTTACGAGTCTTCTCACGAGTTCTGAATCCTCATGTTTTGTCCAAAGTCCCTCTTAGGGCGAGCTTCTGCCTCTATTCGAAGACTTGTGACCATCGAGAAACTATGGCACCATCTTTAATTGACCCAGAGAAGGCGCAGGACGTGTCTACTCCCACGCGTTTTGTCCCATCAAAGACTCACAACGATGATTCAAAGATCTCTGGGCTTACTGAAGATATGAAGTGTCTCCAGCATCTTGCGTGGGCACGGAGCGACAGATCTTCCAATGATTTCCGATCCGACTTTGTTACCATTCCTACATTACCAATGCTAGCTGCTATAAGCGCTACAACGCTAGGTGATGGCGATATGGATGAGGACGAAACAACGAACTCGTTCCAGGAATACGTTGCTGGCCTCGTGGGCCATGAGGCATCTCTTCTGGTCATGTCAGGGACCATGGGAAATCAAGTGGCTCTCCGGTCTGCTCTCACCAGCCCGCCTCATTCAATTTTGGCCGATCATCGTGGGCACATTATCATTCTAGAAGGCGGGGGGCCTTCAAGTGTCTGTGGCGCCATGATCAAGCAAGTCGTTCCATCCAACGGCCATCATCTCACTTTGGCCGATGTCAAGAAACACGCCACCATCACCGAAAGCGTATACGACTGTCCTACTCGGGTAATAAGCTTAGAAAATACTCTTTGGGGGACGATATTCCCTCTGTCTGATATTCGTGCCATCTCGAAATGGGCTCGTGCTCAGACGCCTCCTATTCATATGCATTTAGACGGCGCTCGAGTGTGGGAAGCAGTCGCTGCTGGAGCCTGCACACTGCGTGACATGGGAGAGTGTTTCGATAGTATCCAGATGTGCTTTACAAAAGGACTCGGTGCTCCACTTGGCAGCATTGTCACCGGGAGTTCTGCATTCATCAAACGTGCAAAGTGGGGTCGCAAGCTTCTGGGTGGTAGCACTCGGAGTTCTGGTGTGATTGCTGCGCCAGCAAGAGTAGCAATAGAAACAGTATTTCTTGGTGGTTTGTTGAGATCCGCACAAGAAAAGGCCAGATATGCTTCGTCTGTTTGGGAAGAGCACGGCGGAAAGCTTCAATTACCCACAGAAACAAACATAATCTGGTTCGATCTTGAAGCCTCTGGTCTGAGAGATGAGGATTTCTACCCTATGTCAAGTCAATTCGGACTGAAGATAGGAGCACCATTGTATGGGCGTATCTGCTTCCACTATCAGATTAGCGAGCAAGCTTTCGAAAGACTCTGTGAGTTCTTCAAGGCTGTACTCAAGAAGACGAACTCCCCTGAGTCATGATGTTGAAACAATGTTGTAATATGATCGGAAACAGGAGCAAGAGTGTCTTTGATTTTTTCCAATACGTAGTACGACCTTGGGAGAGGACGAGTATTTTGCTCTGTTTGTTCGGAAGCGTAGTCGTCTGGTTCATAATGATCTTTTCTCGTTGAAGGCGTGTAGTTTGACACTGAGTAATCAATTAACCTTACTTGCTTAGAAGCCTCATAGATCCAATTCCAAGTATGACAATGAATTTGCCAGAGTGCCAAGCGAAGAGTGTATTACTCGTTCGGATAAGTTTTAGATCTATTCTAAGCATGACACCAAACTTGCTAGAGTGTTGAGCAACGAATGACTGAACAGTGTGTTGTTCTGATGTGGCCCCTATGCATCTAGCTCCGAGCATGAAGTGCACTGTGAATACATGCATATCAGCTGTATTGCAAATACGTGTACATCGACTGCATTGTAGATATATGCAGATAAGCTGCATTGTAGATACATGCATATCGGCTGCACTGTGAATACACGACCATCGGCTGCACTGTGAAGAGGTGCATATCGGTGCGGGGTAAACTCACCAGCTACATGAACAAACGACAAGGCTCGGACATCCGACTTACATACTGTTGAACATCGGATGCAAGGCCGGTGTGCTAAAGCGGAGTAGCATACATGCTTTATGCCACAGCGAAGCCTGCGCTTCATGGAGCCACTATATACGTACCTACATATACCTTAAGAGACCTGGTTACCACAACTGCATTGTCCTCGATCGATATTCACAGACAGGGTCTTGATACCACTTCCCCATTCCACACGCCGTGAGAGCCATCCTCTCACATAACAACGCAAACATGATCAACATGGATCTTTTGACGCTGGACATGGCCAAATTCCATGGTACCAAGTCGGAGCAGCGAGAGTTTTCCAACCAATTTCTTCAGGGCCTGACAGATGCCGGCTTCGTCAAGCTTGTCAACCATGGCCTGACTGAGGAGGATATGACCATGTTGTTCAAGCAGGTACGTCTAGTCTCGAACATAGACTTATTGTGGAGAAAATGTTGACGAGCCATAGAGCGCTTCTATGTTCACTCTACCGAAAGAGGAAAAGGAGAAGTTCGCGAATGTGAAGGGTCCCAAGCCTCAACGAGGATGGAGTCACCCTGGTGCTGAATCGACAGCCACATTGAACTTACCTGGGACGCGAGAGATCAACGACACTACCATCAGTATGGACATGGTCGACAACGTAGGCCGCACAGACTTGAAGGTATGGTATCAAACGAAAATTCTGTGACTTCACAGGCTCACGTGATGCCCTTCAGGAGCACTTCGACATGGGCCCTGTCGGCGACCCAGAGTTCCCCAACGTCTACCCCTCCAACTCTGCAGCCCCCGGGTTTCAATCGTGGATGGAGAAATACTTCGAAAAAGGGCAGCAGCTATCACTCGACCTGATGCGAGCACTCGAGGTAGCCATGGAGTTGCCCAAAGACGCCCTTGTGGACCGCTGCGAAGGCCATGCGAGCGAGATTCGCATGATCCACTATCCAGAGACACCGCTGTCCAAGCTGGCGGACGGCAAGCTCATGCCGATCTGGCCACACACAGATTTTGGCATTCTGACGTTGCTGGCACAGGGCACGAGTGGTGGGCTGGAGATCGAGGACAAGAATGTACCGGGTGGCTACTTACCGGTGCCGTTGGTAGACAAGACCGAGCTGCTTATCAACGTGGGTGATACACTCGAGAGATGGACAAATGGGAGAGTGCAGGCCGGGCTACATCAAGTGACCGTTCCAAGCGACGTCAAGGGTGAGGTGTTTCCAGAGCGTTACTCGGTCGCTTTCTTTTTGAAGGCGAATCGAGCGACTTCTGCAGGCCCGATCCCACTCTTTGTGCCGGAAGGGACCACGTCCAAGTATAAGGAGATGACTGCGCTGCAATACCATGCCCATCGTACAGCCATCATGTATTACTGATTGATGATGAAGTGAGGACTTATACAGGACGGTAGCCGCGTACTTGCTGAGTCATTGAGAACCGTCTGAGCGCAATGAGTACTCGCCGAAAATGTTCCAAGGTTTCCATAGAACAGGTATGACTGATCTTTAAATAAACACCACGTGACCACTTTCCACTTTGGTCGATGTAGCGTTGTGATGAATCCTTACGTCCTTGGCTGCCGAACACAACTGACTCGTCACTTCGGCTCGTGGTTCAAGTGTGCTTCTAGAGTCTTTGTCCAGGCAAACGTGACTGCGGCTGGGGTTTGACCCTGAAGTGGGTCTACCGTCGTTAAAACAATTGTGCCCCCACCCGCTCCGACCCCTGAGATCTTGGAAAGGAAGAGGTTTCAGATCAAGGAAATCCATCGATGCAAGTAAGATGCGGGTATGAACAATGCTTGAACAACATTTGTTGGATGTGTTGGTAACAACATAACAACATAAGACTCCGAAGAATGAGATTGATAGGTCGTCCTACTGCATGAAAATATTACACTCACGTCTTTTGTTTTGAAACAGGACCTATCGGTATTGGTAGAATCTGTCCGGTTGATTGATCCCAACTCCTGGAATCAGCACGTTCTGCACATGTGGTGGCGGTGGCTTATGCTGTTACTATGGTAATCATGCGGCTGGACGCGTATATGTAGCACCGGGGCGAGAAGTGAAGGGTCAGATAGTAAGGCTCATCAGGTACTCCGAGCCCCCGTCAAAAAAGCAAACATGCGAACACTCGATCGCCACGTTAGCTTCCACTTGATCGTCACGCTAGCCTACACTCGACGAACACTTAGCATGAGACATGAGACATGAGACATTCAAACTGAATGCTCTAGTGCCGGACTAAGGGCGACGACGAGGTTACATTAGAGACGACGCTCTCTCGTTGCACAGACATGTACAACGCTGGGCGCAAAATCCAAGACTTTTCCAAGGTCATGATTACGTCCAAAACTCATCCTGTTCAGGGTTATCCTACATTATCCGCGCATAGGCCAATATATTGCATCATGTCTCCGGTTCAAAAAAGAACGGGAACCTAATTTGGCGGCGCCGCTGCTCAGCGCCGCATCCCTCGTCCCTACCTCTTCGAACCTTAAATCTTCGACACACCTCACGACGACGAATTTGACTTGTTTAGCGTGTCCACCTTGTATCATACCTGTCACGGCTTGAACCAGCGACGATGGCTCGGAATTTTGGCACCCTCGATGACGGCTTAAGTCGAGCAACCCCCAATGCGAGTGGCCGGCGGGAAGAACACACCGAACGTACTTCTCTCTTCCACCATCCAAAAACTGAAGCAGACATCCCGCCTGCCGACACCGGCAAGCAAGCATGGCTATTCCTGAGCGCATGTTGGGTTTTCGAAGCCATGATATACGGCTTCGCATTCAGCTTCGGTATCTTCCAGGACCACTATAGCCGTCATGAGCCCTTCGCAGGTCAAGGAAGCATTGCCGTGATTGGAACCACTACCCAGGTATGTTACTTGGATTGCGAGAATATTCGTTCGTATCAATTGACGAGGACAGGGTATCCTGTACTTTGCTACACCTTTCGTCACGCCGCTCCTTCGCCATTTCCCTCGCTTGTCCCGCTGGTTCTCCCTCTTTGGAATCATCCTCGCGACTCTGTCCCTGGGCCTTGCCTCTCTATGCAACACCGTCAACCAGCTCATCGGCGTCCAAGGCGTCCTCTTCGGCGTCGGCGGCTGTCTCGCGTACTCGCCCTGCATCGTATACATCGACGAATGGTTCGACAAACGCAAAGGGCTGGCGTACGGCATCGCATGGAGCGCCGCAGGCGTCGGAGGTGTAGTGATCCCCCTCGTGCTCGAAGTCATGCTCGACAAACTCGGCTTTCGGACGACATTACGGATCTGGGCCGGTGTCACCTTCGCGCTCACTGCTCCATTCGCATTCTTCGTTCGACCCAGGATACCGCAGTCGATGGCGTCGAAGGTGCAGCCGCTCAATCTCCGATACATTTTCTCGAGCACGTTTGTGTGTTATTGGCTTATCAATGTGCTACACGCCACGGGATACTTCCTCCCAAGCATCTACCTCCCGTCGTATGCGAGCGAACAGTTCGGGGCGCCGAACTTCTTGTCTGCGTTGACGCTTATGGTGCTCAACATCTGTGCCACTCTCGGATGTGTGATTATGGGCTTCATGTCTGACAAGCTCTCCACAACTATGTGCGTTTTCATCTCTGCGGTCGGTACTAGTGTCTCGGTGCTCCTCATCTGGGGTCTGACGACAAAGCTACCTCAGCTATACGTCTTCGCGATACTGTATGGCCTCTTCGCTGGTGGTTATACAAGCATCTACTCTGGCATCATGCAGACAGTCACGCAAAAGGGCGAGGCTGCGGGCTATGGCCCCGGAGACCCAATCTCATTGATGGGATGCCTATTGCTAGGTCGCGGAATAGGAAATCTTATATCTGGACCTTTGAGCGAAGCGTTGGTGAAGGGTGCGCCGTGGCGTGGACATGCCATAGGTGGATATGGAAGTGGGTATGGCCCGTTGATTGTATTCTCTGGCCTTACTGCAATCGCCGGAATTATAGTCTATCCGTTGAAAATGCTAAGGTATATATGATGGAGTCACAAGCCATGAACAAAGGCCGCGCAGAAAGTGGCCACCAAAAGGATGGCAGTGTATCATTACTTGCAAAACTACGATTTTGAACTATAATGTCCAAATCTTCACCTACATAGATAGTCATTTCACTAATATCCATCTTTAAACAGCTTAGCGTGGTGATCAGTATTCATGATATTTAGCACGAGTTAGGCATATCCAGGTAACGATGTGTCTGGTAAAAATACAGCTTCTGCTGACGCCCCAACGCCAATAGCCTCGCTCTATATAACCTAACCAAATGTATGTCAATATGTGTTCGTGACACGCTACACGCTCACTACATTGTTGCTACGAACTTGAATCACGGGTTTGCTCCGCCGCTTTGGCGTCGCGAACTGCTACTACCAAATAGTCCTCTCCTGATTCGATCAGCTATACCACCACCACCACCACCACCACCACCACCGTCGTTACTGCTGGTGTGACTATTGTTGAGGATTGTAGATGCACTCTGTCTCCTGCTGTTGTGGCTACCGTGGCTAGAGTGGCGACTGTTTTGTGGGCGATGTTCGTGTAGTCTGTGGAAATCATGTCGAACATCAGAGCTGCTTGTTGATGCATGATCGTCGTAAAATGTGCCTGGAACGTTTCGGGTCGGCGAAGGTGGATATAGCCGCTGACTGTGTGAAGCCTCAGCACTAGTAGCGCGTCCGGGCGTTTGGGGCGGGCTTGAAGGCTCAGATGAAATGCCTTTCCTACAGTGGGGACATGTGTCATGCTCACTCAGCCATGCACCGACACACTGTTCATGGAACCAGTGATTACAGGGCAGTATCGTCACTTGTTCACCTAAGTTGACCTCATCCATGCATATGCTACATTCGGCTTTGCCTTCGGAGCCTAGCATGTCCTTGGATACTTCCTTCTTCGGTAGAGCCGCTATGGCTGCTGCTGATGCCGGACCCGGCGCACTTCCTGAGGCGTTGTGTTCCATAAGCTGAGAAATAACCCGATCTAGTTCCTGTTGAGAACCAACATAGTCTCCGATTGATCCTCTCGGTCCGGCGAGAAAATGACTTAATAGTCCCAATAAAGGATTATCGGGGAATGCGTTTGCATTTTGCTGCTGTTCAAAACGTTGACCTGGCGGGACTTCACCAGGGAATCGTGGTCCGCCCATGCCTTGACCAAGCATAGCCTGAATCATACTATCAACTTGTCAGTAGTGCAAAAAAGTCGAACAAAGTTACCATGCATGACTTACTCGTGAAGTTCGTCAACGGGCTCAACGTGAGGTTGTGCCTCGTTTGGGTTGCGTGGAAAGATCCGCGCATTCGCGGTGTACTGGAACCTCGGATGTGGCCCTCTACCCATGAAAGTAACTCTTTGACCGCCAGAGCCAAACCTCTGCTGGGTAGTCTGAGGTTGGAATCCACCGAATATCGACTGCATATTCTGGTGTGGATGTCCCAACCCGCCCGGTGCATTTCGATCTGGTGGGGAAAAAGGATCAGGTCTATGGCCAGGTACGGGAGGAGCGTCAGGGGGCTGCTGCTGTGTGCTAGGGCGTGTGTTGGCTAACCCTGCGTTGTTTCCTAGTATTCCTTGGAGCATGTGTCTGAAGTTGTCTGCGATGCCGCCCTGTAGAGCACCTGGAGCCCTGTTTGCTCCTCCGCGCGGCGTAGTGGTAGTGGTGAAGGTGCCCGTCATAGAGAAAGTGTCGGGACCTGTCTGGTTTATTCGCCAACCATTGATGTCCTCCTCTTCCGGATCAGGGGCGTGGCGCCATGTGTCCTGATTGTGGAAAGGGTGGTGGTCATCGTTACCATGGATCGGATCACGGGTGTGCGAACGTGGGTGTGCCGGGTGCTCGTCCGCCATATGGTGGTCAAGATCTGCAAATAATTCTGCACGCGGGTCGTGGGCAGCTTCAACCTACAGAGTGCATGTCAGAAATCTTTCAAGCGAAAGCGAGAGCCGTAGCGTGGAAGCAAAATGGTTCGACGTACTATCTCGGTGAAGTCAGACTGACATTCCGGACATGTCAGTCCATATTCGTGACGATACCATTCGTTCTCGCATGAATGGCAGAAGCACAGCTCTTGATTCGGGTTCTGGCCCTGGCCCGGGGCCGAAGTGTCCATATTCAGTACTGACAGTGTGACGGTCGGAGATTCTGGTGCGAAGGCGATAAGCAGGAGGAAGAACGAGGTTGGAAAGGACTACGGTTGATTGTGCTTGTCAGTAGTTTGTGGTAGATTTGTCCAGGCCGTGACCGGACTGTTCGCAAGATGTTGGCAAAGTAGAGTGGGTGGAGTAGGTAGAGAGCTTCGAGAAACTGCCTTGTCATGCGCGTTATGCAGGTGATCTGACAAACGCTCGGAATAAAGATAAAAGGTAAGAAGGATACGCACGGCGCAGAAAAAAAATAGTAAATCACAGGCGCCAAAGTGTAGAGTAGGAACAAGTAGTAAAAGAGACAGATGCGATAGCAGTGAAGTGGCTAAGGAAAGGTGAACGTACACTGCGAAGGTAATATGATAGCCAGAGTGAGTGGTGTCTGGCGGGAGTTTACGCCAATGACGCACAAACGAGCGGCCGTCGCACTTGGCCGGAGTGTGGTTAGTGCAGCCGGAGGTGACAGTGGAGACCTACAATACTGGCACGCGTGTGATACATAGTCAGTAATTAGAGAGCAGATCTTGGCCACTGCAAACAACGTTGTCAGGTCGAAAATGTTGAGGCTCAGACTCAGAACATTGTTATTGCAGGGCCGTGGCTGGACCGCTGCATTCATAATTCATCCGCCACCATTGATTCACTCGTTCAACTGTTCAAGTGTCCCGAGCGCACCGGAAACCCATCAACCTCTTCCTCCGCGTTCTACCTTCTTCTCTCGGTATGACTCTATACAAGAACAATCAGCGATTAAGGGGTCACATACATCGATGGGTAGTAATGAGTTTTTACATAGTATGTGCTGCATTGCGGTTCATGCATGCGAAACAAAAGTTATGTGCTGCATGCGATTTGTACAAGTGTTGGCATAGATCATTATTCCAAGCGCCTCCCTCTGAACTGTGATGCCAGGGTGTCCAACAGGACATATCATATTTCACCTTCTTCTTGCGCTCTTGAACAGCATGCTTCCAACTATGCCCGCTGCCACTGCTAGGCCTCCAACTATAGCCGCCCCGACGAGGCCCTCCTTCGCAACCTTGTCATCAATCAGACCCTTCAGACTGCCTGCCTGCAAGTTTGCCGGCTCTAGATCTATGAGTAGATCGTTGTATCTCCGCGCCTCCGCATAATTTCCCAACTTGTAGTTTCCCAAGGCGAGATAGTACAGACACTCGCGTCTTCGTTCAGGGGAATTACGAAAGATATCGGAGAGTAGTCGCACGCCTTCTTGTTGATCTGGTCGACTGCTGGATTTGATGAGACCCTGAAACATGTCTCAGCTTTCACTTTCGTGGGAATAGTTGCTGTCGCTTACCCAGGCGTAGTTGAACTTTGTTTGGATTCCCACATAATCACCTTCCTTTTCATATTGCGCACGCAGTACTTGGAGCTCTTCAGGCTTCAACGGACTATAGGTCGTTATGGTGTTAGCCGGAATATGCAAAACATAGCAGCAAGTTGGCAAGAGTATCGGCGACCCGACAGGATTCCACGCACCTTTCCGCATCAGCTGCATCTGTCACTATGTTAGCACCAGAGTATGGCCTAGACTATACGGAAAGACGTACATGGTAATGTAGACATTTCAATAAGGCTGTGTGCAAGTCGGGATGGTCTGGCAGTTCCACGGAAGTGTCAGAGAGTTAGCAGTGCGAGCACAGCTCAATGAATAGTAGCGATGGTCGCACGGCGCTGATAAAGTCTTGTGGTTCAAGTTTCAGGCAAGTTTGGCCGGTGACGTTTGAGCTCGCTGCGCCACAGTCCCCATTTAAAGCACGTGCATCCACATATTCATGGTTGCCTGGGAAGACGCGAGGTGTGGCTTAAGCGCAAACAATCAAGCGTCTCGGCGCGGGACGCCAACAACACCAAAGATTAGATTGAACAACTTCTATCCTCATACCCGGAACGATACCCTGCCTCAATTGACACTCCATCCATTATATGGTTACCCTTGAAAATGCTCCTGGACGAAGAACCCGCCGCAGTACGCTCACTCCATACACTGCTCTCAACATTGTTTACTGACCGTGACAGCTCATCGCGGCCTGCCGCCAAAGTTTCAAAATTGATTCTGATCGGAGCGCGATATCACGCATTGGCTCTGCTCTCAGTGATCTCAATACCTTCCGCAGCTCGATCATATCGCAGCACTCGTCGCAACTGCAAAAGCTCGTTCGACAACAGCAGACCCTCAATTCGCAACACTCGCTCACCGTGTCGTCACATAACCCGACATCCCATGCCTCAAATATATTGCGGCTCGATACCGAAAAGTTTAGAGTCGCAAAACAAGCAAGTGATCTGGAAATCGAAGAAGAAAGAATGGGCGCCGAGCTGGACAGCTTAAAGAGCACGCTGCAGGAAGTTGAGGAACAGGGCCCGGAAGGCGGCGAGGCACTTGAGAGAGAGCTCGCACATCCAGAGGAGAATGAGACAGTGTATGTTCTCGTTGGTGAAATCGCGTGCATGGCAGTACTAACATGCTGCAGACTCAAACTACGGATTTACCGCGACCTCGGCATGGGCGTCGAGGTTGACCCTGCAACCGGTGATCACAACAGAGTCATTTTCCAAAAGAGTGGGGATGTGCACTATCTTGGGCGAGACAAGAAGATGGATCTTATGTTTTATTGCAACATGTTCTGGGACAAATTATGATGTCCCCTTACCTGGCGTTATTGATGGAGTAATGATATCCCACGGTTGTTTGAATGTCCAATACTAGTCATTATTGGCTGTCTCGAGATACATGGAACTGATTCGAGTTGCGAGGGTGTATAAAGAATGACCAATGCCAAAGAAATGATTCCTTCAAGAGGTTCTTTTTAAACCGTCAACGTCCCCAGCAGGAGAACCTCCAAGGCCGACCCTTTCTTGGGGACATGACCAGCATACTATGAAGCAAGTGTGGGAGCTACGAGTCATCGGCCTGGTTTGCAGCTTTTCTACAGCCAAGGTTAGAAACGTACCGACTACAAGCTCTGAGTGCAAGGTGATATCGCATGGGCTGTTTACTGCTTTGCCGTCCACCAAATACCGTGGTTGCAAACAGCAGCAGCATCAAGCTCGACCTTAGTGCGCGGACACCGGTAGGTAGGGAGTGTTTCGTCTTGTTGAGGAAGCGGGACAGAAGTGTTCGACTTTGTTGATGCTTGCCGATGCTACTCTAGAAGCACCTTCTACGTAAACGGAGAGCACACATATCGACCGAAGATAAAATATGAAAGCGACATGAAAGGCCCGAGTATGAAACGCATTCCATGCCGATGAAGAGACGTAGTTCGTGAACACCACGAGAACCACGGGTATGGGATCATAGACATACTTCAATTACATCGTTTTTGCCCTTCCTCGAATGCTTCGTTCGGATACATACGAAGACATTCTTGGTAAAGGGACTTCAGATGCTTCCTTCCAAGCCACGAGTCCCAAGGTCTTTGGTTGCTAGGCTTATAGTGTAATTACGCGGGATGCCATGTTTACCGGAGGCCGGGAAAGGCAGGTAATCCCAGCCCGGACCAGCCGCCACGTTCCAGGGACTCGGGCAGGGCCGACCCCGGATTTACGGCTCGACCACCGATCCATTGCTGCCCCTCCCCTCGTACCTTGCATCGTATAGCTGCATCTATCCATCTATCCATCTGTCCATACGTCCATCTTCCTCATCGCATCCCTGCAAGCCAGCCAATTGACGAACTGTAACAGGAACAATGGCGTCGACGAAGCGTCGTATCACTCCCAAATGCGAGGGCTCTTACAGGTTCGACCCAGATCTCTTCTTTGAGCAGTGGAACGACAAGTCTTCACCACAGCACAGCGGCGACTTTCGCAATTCGATCATACGCTCTTTCGGGCTGAAACCTGATGACTCGTACCAATACCATGCAGAAATTGCTGTCGTTACTCTCAAGGATGCACAGCAGGTCGTCGACTTCGGGGAAGTAGGTGGATTACACTCGTGGTACCTGGACGAAAAGGAGAAAGAGGTACGTGTTCATGGTCTGCATGACGCTGTTGTTGTACACCGTCACTCGTGGCACGCTTCTTTCCATTGATACTTCACCGAAACATCGCTGGCATGATGGACTGTATGCTGATAATTGATTGAGCCAGCTTCCACACCCGTCCCCCGACGACTCCAAAGCCTACGCATCCCTCTTCCTCCCCACGAACAACCTCGTCCGTGCTCTCACCGGCTTCCGCTCCAATGCAAAGAAAGGCTCTCTCCGTGAGCAAATTGCTCAACATCTCGCCAACAATCTCGTAGTTCCCATTGCTCCTCTCGCTGTACCATCCAAGCCGAAGTCTGCGCCCAAAAACCCCTATCTCGACCTCTGGGCGTGGTCGTGTGAAAATCTTGAATGGGCTGGACCCATACCTACAAACACAAAGACAGAGCATGCTCACCACATCCTGCCAGTCTTGTACCACCATTTTGGCTGCGCTGTGCCCACACATGCTGCACTCAGTCTGATTGCGCAGGTCGCGCAGGTACGCACGAAGCCCAAGCCCATCATTGAGGTCGGCTCTGGTACGGGTTATTGGACGTTTATGCTTCGCAAAACATTCCCAGAGCTCACCGTCCTGCCAATCGATAATCTCCAGTCGAAGTACCGCGTCCGATGGATCGGTGACACGCTAGTGCAAGATGGGCCAACGCATATTGTCACCCACAAGGGAGGCGAGGGACAGGTGTTGTTGCTGGTATACCCGATCGTGAGCGAGGATTTCACGGGCAAGATGCTGCGCGCGTTCAAGGGCGATGCGGTGTGTGTTGCGGCAACGCAAAATGGGAATGGACACAGTGCATTCAAGGGAGAAACGGTCGCGGATTGGGTGAAGAGGGAGAGACCAGACTGGGAGGAGGCTGCTAGGGTGCCCTTGCCAAGTTTTGCGGGCAAAGACGAGGCATTGTTTGTGTTCAGGAAGAGGGCGGCAGTGGAGGAGGTGGCATGATTACCGTGATTATTGCCCTCATAAGCGACAACACCTGCTGGCAGCATCGTATCAAAAGTATGGCGGCTCCGTCCCTGTCCATGTATATATCCTCAACCACAAGAGCCATACACCACGTAGTGGTTCCCGAGGAAAATCGCAAGCACTTTTCAACAGGGGCGTGCTGCGTGTACGTTGATAGGGCTACCTGAACTTGACCATCTAGACCGTGCGAAGGAATATCACAATCCGAGGCAAGCAAGCCTTGATACTTCTAGTAAGGTCAAAGGACTTTGTTCGTTCATAAATGTGTCTCCAAATATGAGCTTGTTCTACATTCAAGACACGTGTGGGCACTTCTCGGTGCAGCAGACGGCGCCATCCATTGCCATGATCCTATGTGAATGGGTATTCGCAGCGCAGAAACATATGATATGTACTGGAAAGCTCCGTCAGATGATGCAGGACACTATACCGTTCCTACTTCAACTAACGATACACGGAACCAATCTTACAAGGTCAGCTGCCTCCGCATGCGCGTGACTGAGTGAGTAGTTTTTCCCACACACACACACACGCACACTGCTGGATTAGAGCCGCACGTGAATCCAAGACCATATCGACACGCGACAAAAGGTTCATTACGCACGATTTGTGAGCCAAGATTATTACCCAAGGAGACCCAAGGATCATCCCGGGCCCAAGATCGCAGGCTGTCCTCCTTAGCGTGCGCGAAACCCCAGGTTTTACCCCGGGATTGGGGGCCCACGCGACGGCACGCGGGCGGGGCCCCCTTAAGTGGCCACTTTAATTACCTCGAGCTAGCCTCAACCTTACCTTTACTTCGACGACGACAACGACAACGACAAACGTCACACTTCCCTCACACACACAAACACGCAATACATATCTCCCAAGCTTCCACCCGGCTCTGTCTGGAAGAACTAATCTGAGCACGACCATCTTACTGGCTTGTAGTTGGGGGATGCGCGCGAAGCCGCAGTGGGGCCACGATGGAGCCGCCTCGAGCCGACGACGATGCTATTGCTGCTGCAATGCCACTACTTGAGAGCCGCGCCGCCGCCGACGACGAGGAGGACGACTACGACGAAGAGGAAGAGGAAGAAGAGGAAGAAGAAGAAGTACAAAACGACGCGTCCTCCCCGTCCATCCACAACGACCGTCACCATCGTAACCGTAACCAACCTCATCATCGCATCTCCGTGCCAGTCGTCGACATGCTCCTCGAATGGATGAAGCCCAACGCACTGATCCGCCCGCGCCCGCCCGACGCAAATGCAAACGCAGATGCATGGCGCCGGCGATACGGCGACGGGAACAAGCGCGTGTACGGCATCACGGCGTTTGTGTCGCTGGGCGCGCTGCTATTTGGCTACGACCAGGGCGTGATGGGCGTGATCATCGCAGACCGGCGGTTCCTGGACCTGATGCGGCCACAGAGCGCGTGGGTGACGGGCGCGATTGTGAGTCTGTATGATATCGGGTGTCTGCTGGGCGCGCTCTCGATTGGGTTTCTGGCCGATCGCATTGGGCGCGAGAGGACGCTGGCGGTGGCGACGCTGGTGTTCAATCTGGGTGCTGTGCTGCAGGCGGCGAGCTATAGCGTGTCGCAGATCGTGAGTGTCTTTCTTTCGTTCGAGATGACCCCGGGGACCGGGGGGGGGTTTCTGTTCTTTGTCTTTTCACTTTGTCACAACGTGTCGTGCATACACACACATCTACCTTTTCCTTTCTACATCACTGACACCACCACGCCCCAGATCATCGGCCGCATCGTGCTCGGCATAGGCGTCGGCATCTGCGCGGGCGGCGTGCCCCTCTACATTGGCGAAATCGCGCCCGCAAAGCTCCGCGGCCGCATCGTCGGCATCGAGCAAATGATCCTCTGCCTCGGCGAACTAATCGCCTTCTGGCTCAACTACGGCTTCGCCATGCTGCCCTCGGCACACTGGTGGCGCATCCCGCTCGCGATCCAGGTCCTGCCCGCCGGCGTGCTCGGCGTCGGCTGCTGGCTGTACGTGCCGCCCAGTCCGCGCTGGCTGGTCGATCAGGGCCGGCCCGAGTGTGCGCGCGAGGTGCTGACGCGGCTGCACGGGTCCGAGGCGGCGGATCGCTCGCTGCGGGAGATCAGGGAGAGTATCCGGTTTCAGAAGACGGTGGCGGAGAGGGCGCGGTGGGTCGAGTTGTTCCGGAGGCCGGTCTTGCGCGTCACGCTGCTGGGCATGGGCGTGCAGTTCTTCCAGCAGGTCAGTCGGTTCCTCTACCTCATAACTCCTCATGCGTGTATCCCCTATTCACCAACTCTGAACACTCCAAGACTGACCCCCGGGCAACAACAGATCACAGGCACATGCAGCATAATCTACTACCTCCCGCACATCTTCGCAGCAGGCGGCATCTCCAACCCACGCACCCAGAACCTGCTCAACGGCACCGTCGGCATCGTCCTCTTCCTCTCCGCCTGGATCCCCATCTTCCTCTTCGACCGGCTCGGCCGCCGCACCTGGCTCCGCCTCGGCTGCATCGGCATGGCCGTCGCGATGATCGGCATCGCCGTCTTCCAGCGCAACGCCGCCCGCCACCCCGAGTCCTCCTCCACAAACATCGTCATCGTCATCTTCCCCTACCTCTTCTACACCTGCTTCAACGCCACCTGGGGCGTGGGCAGCTGGCTCTACGCCTCGGAGATCTGGCCGATTCGCTACCGGGCCAAGGGCAACGGCGTGACGACCGCAACGCTGTGGCTCGGCACGTTTTGCGTCGCGCAGCTGAGTCCTGTCGTGTTTGAGCGGGTGGGCTGGGGGTTGTATGCCGGGTATGCGGGCTTGTGTGGGCTGGCGTATCTGTTTGTGCAGTTTTGTATGGGTGCGTGCCTTTTCCTCGTTCTCCCTTTCCTCCTTTTTTTGTCCTCTCTCTTGGTACGGGCGGCATCACGGACTGACTGACTGACTGACTGACTGACAACGGCGAAATCTAGTCGAAACCCGCGGCCGCTCGCTCGAGGACATGTCCCGCCTGTTTGGCATCGACGATGGGCTTCGTCTCCGCCGCCGTCGCACCATCCTTCGTCGTCAAGACCGCGAACACAACGACGACGGGCTCGAGCAGTCGTTCTCCACCGACAAGCCGGAGGCGAGTGTGAGTATGAGTGCGACGACGACAAACACGAGCATGCCCAAGATTGCGTCGCCGTCGTCGACGACGCAGTATGTGCGGGCGTAGAGTACGTGGTGTTGTGGTTGGTGTTGTTTTGTAGGTTTGGTATTTAGGGTTCGGATTTGGGCGTTCGGATTTGGGCGTTCGGATTTGCGGGGCTCGGAGTTGAGGCTCGGAACTGGAGTACAAAAATGTGATACATGTAATACACGCGCCTTCATTCGGTGATCTCGTCGAATAAACATACAACAAATTGATCAATAAGCATACAAAACAGACTAACAGAGACAGCCGTGAATTTTTAACCCCTCGGAAAATCTCTCCTATCTATTGGCGTAAGTTGGCCGTAAGAAAGGGAAGTAAGTAAGTTTACAGCGTCAAGTAGTAACCCTTGCACAAATTTTTTTTTTTTTGTTTTTCTTCAAATTTGGTAGGGGTCCATCTATCTAGTATGAGAAATTCGTAGTCCCCGGTCTTCCCTTCTACCTCATTACCATTACCCTCTCTGCCCTTTATCTCGGCCTCGTCATGTAGTGAGTATAATATAACTTCTCTCCGCCCCCCCCCCCCTCTCTCTCTCTCTTTAGAACGTACTTTTTATAT